AATATTAGCTTTTACAATCATTTTATGTCTATTTTTGCATTTGTATGAATATTTAAAAACAAAATAAAATAATGGAGCATGTATGCAGAATCCTTATACATATATTATCTATATACATTATAATTAATTTTTTATTAAATTATTCAATAAATTTTAGAAATATTTAAAAAATTTTACTAAAATGTGAAATATATTAAAATACTTCTTAATATTATATTTGAAATATTAGATTATATTTCAATTGGTCTGAATTTTATAATTATAAAAGAAGACACCTAAAAATTGAACATTTATTTCAATTTAGAAAACATACTTTACAATTATAGACGCTTAATTCATAAATCTGTTTATGATCTAAAATATAATTTACTTACAACGATATTTAGTATAATTAATATGCGACAATGTTTATATATGTTTAATATCGATTAGATTTTATCTTTTTGTTGGAATAACGTATAGATCTTCTTTATAAATATTATAGTCAAAATACGAAATAAAAGTTGAGTCGTTTATATAATAATTTTTCAACTAATATGTATCTGTATAATAAAAATTTTCTGAAATATATAAAATTTTATGATTAAAAAATTAGACCTCTAAAATATTGATTGTTATTGTCTGTAAAATTTTGATAATCGTTACAGATAAAATGAAATGAATTTAAAAATATTTTTATTCCTTATAATAAATAGGATATTCAAAAATTAGTAGAATTAGAAATATTGATATTTATTCATATTAATAATTTTCATTTTAAATATTTTAATACTTGTTTTATGATTATTTTGTTTTATGAAATATTACACAAGGAAATCTATTAGTAATTTATCATAATTAATAGCTAATATAGATATATTCTAGAAAAATCATATAATTTATTGTATTTTTGTTTAATTTACGTTCAAATTTACTATCATTCACTTGATATACATACAATATTGTAAATATTGTAAATAAATAGTATAATTGTTAAAAAATTTTTGTGAGAAAATATTATTAACAAAATTTTATATTTGTCTCTAAGTTTGAATATCAATAATATACTTTAATTTATTAATAAATTACCTTTATTTTACTTGCTATTTCATAGAATAACATATTAGTACGATATTTAATCTTTTATTTATTTGGTGATGTTTTTTCATATATCATTGGTCAGTGAAAGTAAATATCTTTAATGCGTATTTATATGTTAAATTAACTTTATGTAAAATATATTATAAATAATGAAACACAATCACAGTTCATAATTATTTTTATTATTAAAATTGAAGGTTTCATTTAAAAAAAAAACCAAAAGAAATTAATTAAAAACGAAAAATTGTTTTGTCCATTATATATAATTTTTTTTTTAATAAAAAGTAGGCGTGTATTTTAATATTAATATCATAGACATTAAGTACAAAGTTTTAAATTTTCAATTAAATATTTCCTAATTTTGAAACGTTTCTGAAAAATCTTGTATAGCTATTATTACATATTTTGAAAAGTAAATGAAAATAAAAAAGACACTTACATTTCACATTTATTATTACACTTTGCAGATTACACTTCGCAGTCAATTTAATCTGAAGTTATAGAGAGTTTGAAAAAAAAAATTTTATTTTCCATAATAACAGAAGAATTTTATATTATTAAATCTAATCTTCTATTTTTCAACGATTGCTTGTTTCGCACCGAATAACGGGTAACACAAAGTCATTAAATTATTATGAAAAGTAACCAAAACTAATTAAAAATATTAAAATATATATCTATTTACGATTTAAATGAAAATATGACTTATAGGTATCATACAAATATTTTACATTATATTCAGTTAAGTAAAATAACGTACTACTTAATATGCGTATTATTATATACTTCGTCTTACAAGAAGAGAGAGAAATATACATCAATTGATGATTGATTATAAATAAATGGCGGATATGAATCACATAATACTTCATTTAAAAAATCATTAATATTCTTAACCAATAAATACAAAAGCTAAATATTTTACATAATAAAACTATTGGGTTAACTATTATGCTTTTATTATTCCACTATTATTTCAACTAAGTAAATCAACTGCTAAGTTTAAATTTTAATATTATGATTCAATATACGAAAAACCATGCTAAAATAAGTGTATTTTACAAATAATATACTGATATTAAATTATAAGAAAAATCATCTTTGAAACATATATTTGTTTTCATTTAATTAGATAAAAATAAAATACAACGTTTAAAGTTTTTATAATAATTCTAGAGAATGAATTTTAGAAATTATCATGAAAAAATTATGTTCTAATTTATTTAAACAGACGTAAGACAACGCGATTCGTTGAATAAAAATAATCAATAATTATATTAAGAGATTTATAAACTTTAGTGATATTTTAATTACTTTAAATTATTATCCATAAAATAAAATTAATATAATAACAAATTATAACAAAAGAAAGAAAACTAAAGTTTTAAAAGTGGGTTCATAATTAATATTAATAGTAATTGAAGTTTTAATTTTAAGATAAAATGATATATCATTATAACTATTTTGTTAAATTTTGATAGCAATTAGCGGCTAAGTATTAAAATTATAGCTCTAGTAAGGAAATAGTGAACGAAATTTATAATTAACTATTGAGCAATTAAAAATGATTGAATTAAAAAGGAAAATATGTTGAAAAATTACTAATACTAAAAATGTTGTGCAACCGAACGAATATTTAAAATCATCTATATGTTAAGTGATTTAGTATTTATTCAAGATGATAGGTAAATAGAAAGAGAAATAACAGCATTGCTGAGAACGATGCAAATTTGTAGAATAGGAATTCATTATGTAATGATATAAATCCTACAATAGAAAATGTATCTAATATCAGAGATATTGGACGCAAATAATAAAAATGAAATTAAGCATGTTTGTGTAGTCATACAAATCCCATGCGTGACTAATTTTATCGATAGTTTTCAACTAAAAAATGATAATAAAAGATGATCCATTTAAAGCATTTAAAACCTAGTATAAAATTAATGAAGTTGCAAGATGTTTATTGAGAAAAAGTAAATATGACTATTCATTAATATTATGTATCAATAAATATTATTTCAATGCATGAAAGTAAGTTGATGAAGCCATTACATTAAAGGGAGAAAAATAAGAATATCAATGAGCCATTCAACATATATACTGCATACATTTATTTAAAGGGAAATTGCGAAGTCATAATTTTATAACGGATTGATTTTTCAAATTATATTTCAAAGTCAAATACGATAGAGTTAATCAGACTGCAGCGCAAATGAATCGGTTGAGAAGCAAAACAACAAAGGGCGATTTAGTCTATATAAATTTTTAGCTGTAAATTCAACTATAAATTAATTGTCAAAACAATAATAACAAAAATGAAGGCTATAAATGAGGAAAATGAAAGTTGAGAATAAAAAAATTAAAGACATACGATTGTAATAAAAAACAAATGGAATTGAAGTATTAAATGATGAGCAGTAAAGAAGAATGTGTATCTAGTATCACCTACGCCACTAATAAGCATTTAGAAAGGCAATTTAATAAATGAGTGTAATTTGAAATATATAATTTCATAAAAAATATAGGAACCAAGGGCCGTCATAAATAAAAAAAAACACTCTGTTCCCAATTTATGCAAAATTTTCAATGTGTCGTATTTAATAATAATATATTTAGTTCTAATGCTAAGCTAAGTAAAGCAAATATAAGTAATTTTAGCATTATAGTTACAGTTTTATAATACAATATTACTTGCATTTTTAATTCAATTTTTACATATTGATATATTTTTTTGTTAGGATACATATATTCTACATATGCTAGTGTTAGTTTATTAGGGATAGTACTTTTTCAGAAGATTCTTTTTTTTCTACGATTATAAATTGTAGTATGTTTAGTTTTTATTTTATTCATTATCACTATTCGATATTTATTTAAATACTCGTCAACGCCGTTTTATAAAATTCTGTTATCAGTAGCAGTATATTGTCACTGTTATAGCTATTTTATATACCTTAATATTCATGAAAAATGGCCGTTATATAAAAAATATTAAATTCTTGCTACTATTTACGCTTGTATTTTTGGTTTACATCTTTCTTAGAATATTTAATTTTTACATGATCTGCTATTATAAAATTGCAAAATTGTCAATATATTATTAAACGTATGTATGTTTCAACTGTTGCTGTTTTTTTTATTTTTTTTGTTTTTATTTTTAATTGATTCTTGAATTTCCAATTTTTTACATTGTTATACAGATTATTCATTTATTATTTATGCTACTAATTTTTATCAATTTTATTCTATTGATAATCTCATATATTGAAGAGGTACAACTATACTTATTTATTAATATAATAGCTACTATAAATTGATTAGTAATCATTTATTATAATAAATATTTAAGTTTGAAACTTTTAAAGAATATTTGTGGCTCTGTGTGTGTGTGTGTGTGTGCTGGATACGCGTGCGTACGTACATGCATGCGTGAGAATTAATAAATATTTTGCCAATGTATTTTAAACATATTGTTCGTAAATTATACCTGCGTACAAATATATTTATCTTTATAAAAATTGTTTTTAAGCTTTATTTTTTAAACGAAACAAAGCTTAAATAATACATTGTATATTTATTATAGAACATTCTTTTTAGATTATGCAAATCAAGTTTACAAAATTTACGATATATGCACATTTTATCTATGAAACAATTATAAAAATAGGTAATATGATCCTTCACATGCAAATTAAATTAAATTATGCTGTGACTCCATTAAAATAGATTTAGTTTTCATTGCGTTAATAGTATTTTTATTTTTCAATGCTGGCTATATATGTCCTATAAAAATAAAATATATTTATTTATTTCTGAAAAAAATTTATAATTAAAAAATGTAATCAATATTAAGAAAAAGATTAAATAAATAATCTTGCAAAATCTCTTTGCTTAATAATAATTTTTTTTATTTTTAGTTATCAGAGTTGGAACAGCGTGTCCTAGAGGCAGAAGGACGTGCTAATGAGGCAGAAGATAAGGTATATATTACTAATGGTAAAAATTTAAGTATCAAATAATTTAAAATTTAGTTTGGTGAAAAAATATTATAGTATACACCAGTATATACATTGATGTAACTTCTGTAAAATAGACCATTGGATGTCCATATACTTCCAGTTTCCAGAAGTATATAGAATTTTTAAGTGTTAACCGAATTCACTTTGCTTAAATTAAAATTACTATATAATTGTTAAATCCAACATTTTCTATTTGAAAACATATAGAAGTTTTCTTTTACATAACTGTCAATCATTTGAAGTTTGTTCTATATTATTACTAATTGAACATATAATTTTAATTCATATAATTATATAATTAAGAATAATCAATATTAAATTATTAACTTAGACTATTCCGGTATTATTTAGTTTGATAAATAAAAAATTATTTTCTTTTATTGGATCAAATTATAAAATAAAAATATATAAATGATGTGATTATTGCAATATGGTGCATAACGGTATGTGTGTGTATATATCATATATATATATATATATATAATATATACAATATTATTCAAATTACACAGGGTAGTTAAAAAAAAAAGATATTTATTGAATAATTGTATGCACTTGATGAAAAATGTCCAAGAAAAACAAAATTTTTATAAAAGTAACGTATATCATTTGATTTTTCGCTGCTGTATTCTTCATAAGTTTTGATGAAATTCTAATAATAATGCGAGGATATTTGGATTTTAATATCGTATAAATTATGTGGATAATAAGCAATGAGTTACATTTGTAATAATTGAAAGCAATCATCTCCTCTTGATCCTATTATATTAGTTTATTATTATTTTTCGTTATTGTTATTGTTATTTGTGCAATAGTTATTGAGAAAAGGAAAATAGTCATTAGCGAAATTAGAAAAAGATTCCAATATTATAATAAGAAAATAAAATAGATAAATTCATATGAAAGAAGTCTTATCGAGGATAATTATATATAATAATAATATAATTAATAATTATATTTAATGATGAATATTTAAGAATGATATAATAAAAATGATTTCGGGGAAGCTTGAAGTAAAAAAATGAATTATTAGCTTGCGATAAAGTTAAAAGATCATCGATCGAGTCGTATTATTTACAATTAAATATCCAAGTAGATTGCTGTATTCAGGTGCTCTCCTTTGGTAAAAAAGACTGGTATGGTGACATCTTACCGACATATACTAGAATCCCCTAGGAGCAAAGGTGGTGGCGCTGCTTTCGTCAAAATCGATTTGCGCTGCTCAAAGGGGTCGGGCGGTAGCTCTTGGCGGCAGCTCTTGACGGCATTGATTTTCGTTCGGGAATCAAGCGCACGCGAACAGTGCGAGAGGGGGGTGGCAGAGGAGTTAACGGACGAAAGAATACCAGCCGAGTGGTATGACTCCGCCAAGATGGCAGAAGGCAGACCGGCTTCGGCACATCCCTCTTATGGGTCCGAACTTCGTGAGGAGATCCTCCAGTCCGTGAATTTGTGAAAGTTGCCCCAGGTAGGACAGCGCATTCACTTTTGCCTTTACATTTGCCTTCACCTTCGTCTTCGTGATCGCGTACGCAAGGTAACAACGTCCCAGTTGCACATGAGCCACTGTGTTATGGATCCCAGCAGGTGACACTCGTGACAGGTATACGACTGGTCTCCTTGCCTTTATTTCTGCATTCGCTTCAGAATCCGTGCCTTTTCCTTTTCCACTGAGCCAGTATAATTATTAAGTAGTGATGCTTTTCTCATCGAAATAGTTGGATGATTGGATAGTATAGATCGTATAATGTTTCTATAACAATTTTTGTAAATATTGTTAACATTGAATCACTTTTTAAATAACTAAAATTTATTTGTTGTCTACCGATTAAATTTAGAAACATACTTAAAATTGTCGAATAACCCAAAGGTTATGCTGATAATCCTCCATATATTTTAAACTTAACTCTTAAACTAGCAATCGATCGTTATATTTTCTTTGCTTTTTCTGTTTCTCTTTCTCTTGCATTTCCACATTCTCCGATTTCTATTACTTCCCTTGAACATAAAAAAATATGTAGTTTTCACTTATATGACTTTTTTTATCAAAATTATAATAAAATATTATTCATAATAAAATAATTAATTTTATTATTTATTTGAAGTTTTTAATTAAAAGGATTCAGGATAATTTCATTGATAGATAACATTTAAAATGTAGCATACAATTTACTGAGTAAGTCTCATTATCTTATTTATTAATTATCTTATTTATATTAACATATAAATCAAAATTAAAATGTTTAAATATTTATTATTAATTACCGTATTATTTCTCAATGTATACGTAGTTTATAATATTGGCGGTTATTATGAACTGGATTCTTTCTCATTTTCTTTCTCAATCACTTAGAATATTAAGGGATAAGCTGCTTCCATATATAATACTTTAATAGTAATTATTAATATAAAACTTGGCTAATTTTTATATAAAAATAAATTGTTATTTTTAATAAGCTATTATATTTATACTTCATTATTAACTTTAAGATTATATTGAAATATCTTAATAGACGGAATGATTTTAATTAGAATTCAATATCATTTATAAAGGTTTTATAAATGGATCATTTCAGTGATAATATTGTTTGTATTGAATGTAGAGAAATAAATATTATTTAATAGTTTCTCTTTAAAAAACATTGTCTTTTTTCTATAGATTTTCAATCAATCACTATGTTATTTAAATTTTAATTAAAAATTGCATATTACTTGTATTATTTCCAAATTACTACTTTATCTTTAATTTTTTAATTTATTGTTGTTAAAACAATAATATTAACTAAAATTTATAATAAATAAATATTATATAAGATGTGATAAAAATCTTTTATATACTTTTGTTCTTGATTTGGTACTTAACTTACACAATTAATTTTTGTTAGTCAAATAAAACAATTAAATTATAAAAATAAAATAATTATCAATATAACTACGTTTTATACTATCATTTTTCCAATTTATATGAACTATTAGCTTAATGTATTCTATTAGCTGTAGTTTTTTATTAATTAAAAAATTTCTACCAGAATCATTGAAGTCACAAATGTTAGTGATTATATTGTTTGAAGATACTGGCAGGTGATGAAAAATAGAGAGAGAGAGAAAGAGAGAGAGAGAGAGAGAAAGAAAGCGCTTTACTACCCGACCGTTATCGACTGCATAACTATAAGCTTCGCGGTCATTCGACTAAAGGCAGACAGTCATTGACCTTCTATATAGCATTATACACTATTCTATTGCTTTATAAATCTCAGAGCTTTTTATTCCGATGAATAAGATTATTTTACAATAAAAATTTTGCTTGTAATGTTGTCTAAGGTTGGATATTTTATTCTTGTTCTATTTTATAACTTATCTCAATATTTAAACACTAATAGATTCATTTGTTACACAAAATACCTCTGTAATTCAAGATTTCTTGAGTTAAAAAGAATTTGTAACGACTATTTGAATTAATTGTGATTTGTACTGTATAATTTGTAAAGAAACAATTTTTTGATCGTTTGCTAGAACAAAATCGAGTGATTGAGTGATATTAAAATTTTATATATTACTTCTTAAAGAGAATATATTTCTATCTTTTATATAATTTTCTCATTTATTTCTATCCTGATTATATTTCATTTAATGCTTGTTTAAAAAATATGTATTTAAAACACCAAGTACATATTCAAGAATAGATATCAAAAAATATGCAAAGAAATCTATTATTGAACAGTATAAATTTCATAAAAGATCCTTTGTATATTTTTTGTATTTGCGAAATATTTTCAGTAAACTATTTATAAGATTAATCCTATTAGTAAGCTATTGTACTTGTTTTTATATTGAAATAAATAAAAAAAATAATTATTAAAATAAAATATTATTTTTGTTAAAAACTAATTTATTATTAATGTTTAAGTATTTATTATATAGTTAATAAATAATTATTTTTTAAGCTATCAATAATTATAACACTATTTAAAGTAAATATTGTCAATCAATCATTACTCTCGCTTTCGTATATGTAAGTGTGTGTATATATATATATATATATATATATATATTTATTGAATATAAGTTATTTAAGTTTAATTTAAGTCACGTATAATAATATTAATTTTTCAATTTTTGTTATTTATAATATCAATTTTATGTTTACCTAATCATAACAATGAAAAGATTAATGTAATTAAAAAAAAGTTTTTCAAATTAAGTAGTATAATTTCAAAGTAATTTCAAATAAATGTATGAATTTTTGAAAAATTAGATTTTATTTTATTATAATAAATGTTTTAACTAATAAATAATGCTCGTTTAGTTATTCTGTTTACTGTGGTTTAAATATATATATGAATGGATATATAAAATTTGTATAAATCATTAGCGAAATATGGTTACCAATGTTACTAAAAAGAATTTATAATATCTTTATTAAATGTATATTTAATTAATATTTTTATAAATTATACCTAATACTCGATATTCAATCATTTGTGATTAGAATGTTTCAATTTAATAAAATTCATATTTTATCCACATTATTTAAAGAATGAAATAAATTTTAAATTCGTAAATTTTTATAAAAAGCTTTTAAAATATTTTACAATATAATGAATCAAATAATACATTAAAGAGATTTATATGGAAGTATTAAAGTATATTTCACTTATAATTAATAAACAAGTACATTTAAATTATTGCCGTTACACGCTATAATATCTAAAATTATGATAAAATATGGAGTATTTTATATTTTTAAAATTTAAAAAAAAAATGTTATTTTTCTATTAAATGTTAATAGAATTTTATTTTATTAATAAAAACATTGTACAGAAGTTGAAAGAAATTAAAAATATGTATATAATATTTATTTAAATATCCCTTAAAATAAGATCGCGTTTTCATGATACATAAGAATAGATTGTAAAAGTAGTAGTTTGAAATTTTATTAAGGTATGGAAATTAGACATACCTTATAAATATTATTACTTATAATTAAATATAATAATAATTATTTACAAATTTATAAAAATACATTTCCAATAAAATTATTAAGTAATACAAATAATTATTGTATTTGGTAATTATGAAAGGAATACAATATAATTTATTATTAATATGCATCGTATATTAAAAAATATTCGTCATATTATTCATGTATCAGTGAAGATAGAAAAATTTTATTATTTATTTAGTTAAGAGTAATTATTGTATTCATTCGAAAGAACGAGATATTATAAATAAAAATTATAAAATTTTGCAACCAAATATATAAGATGTAAAAAACGAAAAAAATAATAGAAAGATTAAGTTTAAAGTACTTGCAAATCTGAAAAGATGTGTGGATTCCCGGAAAGAGGCTCCATAGTCGTGTGGAAAGCTCAAAATGCCTTGAAACGTAATAATATATATATATATAAAGCTTCGGCATACATAGGCAAAGAGAGGAAAATACGAAAAGACCTCTGAAAAAAATGAGAAAAACCTTTCTCTTTGACTGTCAGGGACGGTCCACATACATGGAAGCTTCGCCTGGCTAATTTCCCCTCCAGGTCTCGTAGGCATCGATGACGGGGAAACAACGGGGAAACGACGGGGAAGTGACGGGGAAGCAATGGGGAAGGCTTGGTTGAGAGCCAGCTATGAGTCACCGCGTGGATATGAAAGCCTCTAGGAAAGTCCCAGTTTAATCTGGTTCCGAAAGTCACGGGGAGCGTCAACGCGAGTTGAGAAAGAACCGATTCGTGTTTCTCATTATTATCGTCATTGTTATTGATACTACTGCTGCTGTTGTTTTAGCCGTCACTACCACTATTATTGTTGTTATTATCGCTTCTTTTATCAGTATCGGTACAATAGTGTGCAAGGAGATTTTTATTTTGCATGCAGCGGTAAAGGAGGATGTGTTTAAGACTTATTGATTATAATTGAAGAGTCTTCATTTTCCATCTCCGTGTCCATCTCTGACTCCAACTCCTCTAATCGCTCTAATTATGGAGCCCTTGAACGGTGAGAGAAGCTACTTCTACCATTTCCTGTTCTCCCTTTTTGCGAACCTCTTTGTGATATATAATTTTTCCAAATACTAATATATCATAAATAAAGCTGTAACTTGTATTTCATAATTAGATAACTTCATAATGAATGCATTCTTTACTAAATAGTATAGATTTCGTAAATGAAAAGAACATTGGATTTCATTTTATTGTACATCGATATCATCGTTTACCGTATATCTGCTATTATTTGTTATTTACGAACATTGTTTCCTGTACTCATGCATATGAATAATTGCAATAAGTAAAATTCAAATATTTATATATATTATGTTAATGGTATTGTTAATGATAATCTATAATGATATTAGTATTTTCTAATTATATTAAGTTTATATTTATATTATATTATATTAATAATTTAATAATTATATTTCTAATTATTTTGTAATTAAATTAAATTTCTCTAATTCTTATATTTAAAATATCATAAATAATTCATTTATTAATAAAAAATATTAAAAAGTCAATGCTAAAAAAAAGAACTTTTGAATTTTATTCATCATTATAAAATCTATTATTTTAAAGTGAATTATTAGTTAAAGTAATATATTATTTTACTGAAATTTAATATAAATTCCAACCATTTTATGCTTTGCTTATAATACATAGAAAAATAATATGTCAAAACTTAAGGCTATACTATTGTTGTCAATGTTCTTTTTATTTAACTTCATTCCTTGGCAATAAATATGTTGTATGTAAAAATAAAAAAAGTAGTTGATATACAATTACGAATGAACATATTTATGTAAAAATATACTATAGTGGTAAATTTATGTATATAATTACTATATCATAATAGTGCTTGTGAAAAAATTACACCGATTGAAAATCATGTTAATTACAAAAATAACTATTTACTTTGGTGTAATAATTTATATTTATCTATATAATTTTGTATTTAATTAAATAAAGTGAAAAAGTGTGTAGCATAAATTAAAATTTTTAAATATTTGAATTTAAACTAGAAAATACTTACGTTTTTAATCCAATGAAAAATCAATAATTGAAGAAAATCATTAAGACCTATGACCAGAAAAACTTGATCATATTAGAAAATCAATTTATTTAGCATACTGTACACTTCATATTATATATATATATATATATATATAAATACAATAAAATAAAAAAACAAATGAAGAAAGGAAAAGGGATAACGTCCAGTATTGATTTTTCTCGCGTGTCGTCGTCTGTAGTGTATCCCCTTAACGACGTACACCGCTGTACGAAGCTTTAACTCTCCGTCTCGTCGACAACACTTCTGCTACATAAATGATACTGTGCTTACACAAATGTGTGTATACGTGAAAGAGTATATGTGCATATGAGAGAGAATGTAAGTGTATGCCTGTGGGAGAGAGAGAGAGAGAGAGAGAGAGAGAGAGAGAGAGAGAGAGAGAGAGAGACAGACAGATGAGAGAGAGAGAGAGAGAGACAGACAGATAGACGAGAGATTGCATGTACGACATCGATTTTTGACAGCTGCTCAGTGCCGAGGGGGTGTAGGTACGTTCATACATGGAATGCGCGCACGTGTCGCAAGAGACGCTTCAGATCCCTCCATTATTTAAAATCATATACTTTTTTCTACATTTTGAATGGTGCAGTCCATGTAAAGCGACAGTATGTACACACTGCACAGTAGTACAGATCGTCGGATGTACGTTAAAGTGAATTTATAATCAGTATGAGCTGGCATTTTGGAACTTTTAGTGAAACTTATTTTTTCCTCTTAATTATTATTAAATAAATATTAAATATCCATTCCATAAACATTGTTAGATTAATTCATAATGTCATCATATTACGAACATATTACTTATATCAAGAAAAAGGTATTGTGATAATAAAAACTCATTTTTATTTAATTTTTGTAATAAAAAATCATCTAATTAGAAAATTAAAACTAATCATTAAAATTTAGGTGAAGATGATGAATTATTTTTACTTTTTTGAATGTAAAATATGTATAAAAAGTAGATAATATTCTGAATTACTTTATCAAATTAGGTAAAGTTATTACGACTTATTAGTACGTTTTTTCGAGATGTACTTCTCTTTTACTGAATTTTATGATTTAAAAATTTACTTTTACTCTTAAAAATATTGTTTTCTATTATTAGTAGTTATTAATTCATAAACATAGCTGAACGCGAATGTATTATTTGTCTTTTCAAATACATTTTCATCTATGTTAACTACTATGTAATTAAATAATAGAATTAGATTTTTAATTATATATAATATTAATTTCTGTATTTTAAATTTCAATGATGAAGCCGTAGATAAATTATATTTAAATATTAACACAAAATTAATTAAAAATTTATAAATTCGAATACATTTTATATAAAAATACATTTCATTTTTATCTAAATAATTTATTAATAATAAAATTATAATTATTTACTTCTTAATATTATGAATATAATAAATAAGTAGAAATTATTTTAATAATATTAGAAGATATAAATAAGAATAATAATTTGTTGTAGGTACGGATGATGGAGGAACGGCTTGTGAAGGGTGAATACTGTTTAAATACTTCCGGAGTTGGTTCTCCAGTACATTCTCTGCCTTCAACTTCTGATACTCAGAATGAAAAAATTGAAGAGGTTCATTGCGCTTGTATTTCTAAATTAGAGACTCAAGTCGAAGAACAGGTCTGTATTCATTTGATATTTTATCAACGTGATTATCAGCAATTTTATCTCTTAATCATATATTTTATATTTTAATTTAAGTTAATTAATTTTAATTAATTTAAGTTAACAAATTAATTAAGTTAATGTTTAATAATGTATCAATTTTAGTTTTCGTATTTTTTGTAAAATTTTTTCTTATGTGCATATTACATAAATTTAAGATATCTATTTCGAAAAATAAGAAAGTAATTATAATAAAAATGATCCAAGTTTCTAAAAAGTTTATTTTACTCAGTTATTATTGGTTTTCACTCATTTAATGAATAAACTAATACCTCAAATAATATTATACATCAAAACTTTTACTTTCATCTATTTATATTTAGTGCCTTTGTGTATTGACGTTTGTATTATAGCGACAGTTACGACTGCAGGACGCAAGACAAGTTGAAGCGAAAGCCGCACGAATAAAAGAGTGGGTGACGAACAAACTGCGGGAACTTGAGCAACAAAATCAGCATCTACGAGAACAAAATAATAAGTGCAACCAACAACTTGAACTTTTGCGCAATCATATCACTAATATTGGATTGAGACCGCCTGTAAGTTCGGTATCCTAGATTTTTAATATTAATATTCTAAAAAAATAATACTTATTTGAGGTTATATATAAACAAATTTAATAGGGAACAGTTAACGAATAAATTAATTTTTCAATTAATTATTAATAATCTCGTTCATGGAAGAAAATTTTTAATACTATTTTTTCTTAATTCTGTATGATATAATTTTTAATGTATTCAAATAATATATTATATACTTTTTGTATCATATTATATTATATTATATTACTTTTTATATAACGAACTGAAATTAATCGATTAGATTTCAAATTGTTTAAATATATTCTATATACTTCTTTAATTGTGTTTCTTAGAATATTAAAAATTTGGATGTACTTTTTTATTTTATGAGAGGCTTTACGATCATTGAAGCGTAATGGAATCCAAGTTATATTCTATTATTCAAATAAAAGATCTCTCAAATTAATGTAAAATTAAATATAGATAATTTAATTACCGCTTCAGTTTATTATTCGATTATTAGGTAAGAAGAGTGTAGATGCATATTTAATTAAAAAAAAATTTTTATTTTTGTGAAAAACTTGTTTAATTCGATTATATTATATTTTTAAAATTTCCTTTGTGACTGTCCAATTATATCACTTAACAAACGAAAGAACAAAAAATTTTCTAAATTATTTTATGCTTATTTCGTATATTTGAAATTATTACCTTATCTAGACATAAAATAATCTTAATTCTATCTATAAAATTTCTTGCACAAAAATAAAATCAGATTCTAATCAAATAGACGCAGTAGTATTTAAGAAGTGTATAAAAATAATATAATCAAAATTAATCATTGTTATTTTAAAAGTAATGGGTGTGAGTAAACCGAACTGGAGATTTTGACCATTATTTATTTTGTAATTTAATTATTAAAATTTTATTTTGTAATCCACAGTTGCCAACCCGAGCCTCTTTATCTTTGGAAATCGATTCGAGTCTGCGCAGAAGATCGGAGAGTTTGGAAGGCACGGCCCAGGTGATCCCAGAAAATAGTGGTATCGGCGCGGGAAGTCAGCTACTCCAGGCCTCGGGGAGTGTAGCTGAGCCACAAACCATAGTTGGTACCAGACATCGTAGGCACTTATCTGCTTGCGGTACTATTCAGCAATCCAGTCAAACCGCAAATATGGACTCCAGGTGAGGATATTTATAAACTCTATATTCAACATATTCAAGATATCCATATGTATATCTAAGCCCAAAAATATTGGCATTAACTTTTAACCATTGTTAACTATACTTCTTTCTTGTCTGTTTCCATTTTCTTTGCTAATAAACAGTACGATATTTAATTAAGTATATGCTTAATTAGTATTGATATTGCTTTACTTTACAATTTTTTCAAAATTTATCCATACATGTTGTTCCTAATAATATTTAAATTTTTAAATATTCTATCGATTTTACAAAATTATTATTAATATTATCATTAATAATAAAATACAATAATTTACTGTAAATAACACATTTTAATATATAGTTCATAATGCATCCTATATGATTTTTGAGTTTTCGTCATATAATTTTAACAGTTAAAAAAAATGAAGAAAATCAGAAAGATCATAAAGGTTTACTCTATCGATATCTTTATATATCGACATAAAATTCTTAATTTGAAGATTGATGACTAAATGTATATTATAATCTCTATATTTTTTCAACTCAGTTTTTCCTTAACTATTTATTTCTAAAAGATTTTTGAAAGTTAAAATATCATAAAATTCACATCATATAATTTGTAGAAATTCATTATAAAAATCAGTGTGTAAATTTATAGAAATTAATATGAGATTAAGATCAAGAATCAAATATTAAACGTTACTATAATCATTAAATTTCTATAAATATTACTGAATAAAATTAATTAAATCCACTATACATGAGAAATTTCTTTTAATTATAAAGGGATAAAATGTATCAACTAATTTCGTAAAATTTGAAGTTAATACAGAAGGAAAGATGTAATTTAGAAATGAGTTTCAAATTTGAATGAATTTGATATTTCATTTCAGAAATTAAAAGAAAAAGCCACAGAATTATTTTGAACAAATTCATTATTATATTTTCTATTCCATAATTTTAAAAGTATATGACATACTTTTTAAATATATATTGTATTCATATAATATTATAAAGTAAAGTTTTATTCTACTTAAAAAATTTACATCGAGTATAAAAATGTTTAGAAACCTTCCCATTGGAATTCTTTAAAAAAATTATTTAACATTTTATATAATTCTAAAGTACCCAATTTTGAATAAATCAATTTTCTAAAAAATGTTTTCAGTCGTTTTTAATAATTTATTATTATTTATAATATAAACTAGGGTTGTAATAATTATTAGAATTCTTTTCAGTTTTCCACAAGTTTTTACCTTGACTGAACTTTTGTGATGCAATTGATAGCGATTTCATTTTAATTTCCAACCATTTAATATTATTATTTTAAGAATAATAACTCTCAAATCAGCTCTATTTTGATAATTATAGTTTTTTTGACAATATTTTTTTAACGACTTTTAAAATCACAGCATTTCAGCTCTCCTTTTTTATAAACCCTTACATATATATATTTATTTTTTTTATCTTACTAAAGTTTGTATAAATTAGAGGTGTTACTTTAAAATTATTGCTTAATCGCCTTACTTTATTAATATAATCTTTAATATATCACTTGCTGTTACTACTTCATAAGTGTACCAAGAATGTTTATCCTCTGAGTAGTAATTATATTGGGATAAAAAAATAATCGAATCCATTATATTAATGGAATAAATTTGATTATAAATAGTGAATTCATAGAAACATAGCTCAGTTATAAGTTGCACGATAAATTTATTCTTAAAGAAGAGTTTTTTTTCAATATCGTAAGCCTGTACTCATTATCCTATGCTTATAGTTTATAAATTCTTTTTTATACTATATGAATCTTAAGTTTTAACGATTCATATAAAAGTTATTGAATTGAAATCTTTAACGTAGTTTTTATGAATTACATTATTGAAAATTTTAATGTTTTAAACATTTTCTTGATTTTTATGTTATTATTCCTAAAGAGATATTTTGTCGGTAAAAGAGACACATTGTTTGTAGTGTAAATATCTTCTGATTAAAAAACAAATTAAAATTTCTTTTTTTTCAGTTTATGTCTTCGAATACTTTAAATTATATTTGCAATTTTTTTGCAATCAAAATAAAAATGGAATGCAATAAATCTAAATATTTATTTACCACAAGCATATCGATAAGAAAAACCTGAAATTCGCTCTTATATTTAATTTTCGTTAAAGAGTGTAAATGAAAATATTTTGCCTAGCGTTTTAACTTTTTATAAATTTTTTTTTTATAGTATCGAAATTTTTAAAGTTTAATATTTTTAAACTAATATTTAAATGGATAATAATATAAGTAGTGCATCAACTTTTTAAAGGAAATTTTTAATCTCGTTTTATTATTTGTTAAATCTTATAGTTAAAATAATTCAATTACAGTTTTTTTGTAATAAATTAAATTATCGTGCTCAGACATCTGCAGGATGAGTACATCAGAGCATAAAAAGAATTATTATTGACTTTATGCTTAAAAACGAATACATCGAAGCGTCATCGAGTTTATGTATACTACAAAGTAAATAAGGTAAAATGTGCTTAACCCTGCTTAATTTCAAGCGTTTAATAGCTTACACAAACAATATAATTCAACATGCACATATAATTCAAAATATTTAAAATTTTTGTTTCAACATTTTATAAATATATTTTTAAGATAATAAGGAATAGAAAAATAAAATACATAAAGTCTTAGATTTGTTCGAACTGCTCTGTGGCTTTGCTCCAAAAAGTCTTTTAAATTAAATTTATCAATAAAGATAGCATTTTTAAGGATTTGTACAAAATCAAAGTCACTATCCTATAATACAATAATAAAAAATGTAAAAGTAAATGATTGTTTAGAAATGATTTTTTAATACAAAATATAGATACTTATTTTAAAATATTCAAAATATTCAAAGTGCATTATTATTCTCTTTGGGAGGACTCACGACGTAATAGCGGCGCCTTTTTAAACAAAATATGGTACCCTGTAACGTTCTGGGACTTCCTGCAGGGATCTATCAGCTTGAAATATTTGGCGTATTGATTTTGATTAATTATGTTCTGATATCTTTTAAACTTTATGCTATATGTTAAAAATTCTCTTTGTTCAATAAATAAAAATGTATTTTTTTATATTTATATTATTTATACCATATTTAGCTTTTATCTTTTAAAAAGAAAAATTTTTAACATAATCAGATAAAATATTTATAGTTTATTTTCATATCATTTAAGTTTTTAATGAAGATTGTAATTTATAATTTTAAGAATTTCAGTAAGAAAATTTTACATTTTATAAACATAGATATAGTAATTGTAAATATAACTATAGTAATGTATTTTAGTAAAAATTCAAAAAGTGTAACAGTATAAATGTATAAATACATTTCAGTTTAAAAGAGAGATTTTTTCAAAAAAACATTAACTTAAGCACAACCGGTGACATTAGAATTACGAATTATATTTTTAAGGTAAAACCTATTTTTAATATATCTTTTAAAATATATATGGTTATTATTTATGTCAAGTTTTTTTTTTTTTAAAACTGTAACTATATATTTTTTAATTATAAAGTCATACCATAAAGTTGCAAATATGAAAGAGAAAGTATAAATTTTTTATTTATTCTTTTGATATTGTGAAATTATAAATAATTATATATTATGCAAAAAATAATTCGATTATCTTCAAAAAGTTTATTTTACTATTTTAAATTTAATTTAATTTATTTATACTAATTTGAAATGACTAAATTTATAAATACTATAATTTATTTTAATTAATTGCCTATCATTATTAACATAACAGAATAGGTATGTTATAAAATTTATTTTAATGTCTAGAAGGACTTAAGACTGTTTACATCTTATCTAATACTATTGGTACGTACTTATATTTTGTACGTACAATTAGAATAGCTGTTATTTAATGTATTTCTAATAAATCTATTATTTTTCAGAGCAACTCATGCTTCTGTATTAAAGCCTTAAGTAAATTTCAGTAATCGATTTGACATCAAAGGAAAGCATGAAATATGCTAACATATTCAAAAAGAAAAAATTGTGTTCTCAAAAGTTTCAGTCTTCTTACAAGTACAATCATAATAAAAGCTAATTGGTCTTTGAAGAGCATTAATGTTCTTACATTGAGTTCATTTTTTATTGAAAAACTCTAGGTTGTTACTCATAAGAAGATCGATGCTTGCGAAACAAATAAAACGTTGCAAGGCTCCGTTTGTTTGAGTACAAGATTAAAAGATGTCGCTTGGCCCGCGCAGTTTGCTATCCGAGGAGTTGGCTGCAGCAGTAGAGAGTCTTGTGATGTTGCCGAACACGGCGTCCAGCATCGCTACGGGTGCAGCATCCGAGAGCCATAGCCGCCAAAGTCGCGACAGTGCAGATAGCGGGAACGAAGCCATCCACGATTACGCCGAGATCTATACCCCAAGTCGTGAAGCTGCTGCCTGGATACAACAACAGCATAACAATCATCAACAGCAGCAGCAATATCACCAACAGCCGCAGCAGCAGCAACAGCAACAGCAGCAACAGCAGCAGCAACAGCAGCACCACCAGCAATCCGAACTCAATATCCCGAAGCCACCGACCCCACCGCTTCACAGATTCCCTAGTTGGGAGGCAAAAATCTACCAGGTGACGATACTTGACATCCAGTGGATTTTCTCAATCTATTAATCTATTTGCTACTATGTACCTTTATGTAGTTGTATATGGATGTATAAGGTGGCAGCATACGATTGCATAGTGATGAATATGATCAACCATGAACAATAATTTTAATGTGATGCCCATTAACATTGACAGTTAGTGAATACATTAGATGATGGAGCGATGTTAATTTTCTTGATTGCAAAGCCATTTCACAATTTACTATTTATTATATCTAGTGCTGTATTTATAACATTATAATGGATTGTAACGCAAAACGTTGTGTTCTAGAGCATCAATCTAAATTACTGTCAAGCCATTTGTAAGCAAGTAAATTGTTATTTTATTAAATGACCTTTTTGTAGTGAAATTTATGATCAATTTAAAAAACATTAAATTTTATCGACATGAAATTGATCTGCAATAAAAAATATCTAAATAATAATTTTTGATAATTTATTACAATTTCTTGGTAATGTTTGCCATAGCGATTTATTTAATTCAATATTATTTTTAATTCTATAATTTAATTTGTGTAATCGAGTAATAGGGAGTTTTAAATATTAAACTTTATTAATATCGTTGAAAATTGATTTATGTGTAATTAAAAAATTTATAGAAATTGTAATTACAAGTCTGTATATTTTAATAAATACAAAAAAGTTAAGTTATCAGAAATATCCATATTATATTAATATTTAAATAAAATAAGAAAATGCTTCTCAAGAAATGAACTTCTTAGTAAATATAAGTTTTTAATATGTTAGGTGGCTGATGGAGGATTAGGAATTGGATCCCAGATGAATGATGAATCGATTCCTTCAACAATAACAAATACATCAAAGCACTCTCATACTGGACACAATTTAACAGCACACAATTTACAAGGATATTGTGATATTTCAGTTCCAGTTTACGCTACAGTCAAAGGTGTATAACAATAATAATAATAATAATAAATAATTACAATTTTTGTTTATTTCATAAGCGATATCATACAAATACAACAAATGTATTGTGTATTCTAATAATATCTTTCATCATATTTTCTATATATATATAATATAAACTCTAATGTATAATTTCAATTCGATTATATATTCAACATATATTACAATTTTTAATAAAAAAAAACTTTTCGCGCTTTTAAATTTTTTATTTTATATGGCATGTATATTAATTGAATTTGCTTTCACAAAAAATTAAGATATTGAGATATTCTATTTATAATTTTCATGTTTATTTTTAATATTACAGGTCGAGCTAGTCAAATAAGATCAATGCCTTTTGGCGACAGTTCCGACGATAGTTCTGATGGGGAAGAACACCAGATTCAGACGGAGACAAACACACGAATTACAAACAGTTCTTCTGATAATACAGATTCATCTCTGGGCAGCGGTAGTAGTCCGTCAAAAAGTATCAAAACTACTAGCAGTCTTAGTCCAGCTAAACGTAGTTCTAGTGGCTCACCGAGTAAAAGCATTAAGCGTGGTAAATTCTTCATAGTTTAATTAATTACAAAATTAAAAGAATGTTTAATGGTAACTTGAAATTTTATATATTGTAGAAATATTTATTTAGCACTATAAGCCGTTTTGTACGACTAGACTTGCCAGACTATATATTTAAAAATTTATATTTTATTCATTTTCTATTTCATATGTTCTTCTGCCATTTTTTATATAAATATCGTAGATGACTATAAATCTAAATCAGAATTTCTAATTTTTGAAATACATTTCGATAAAAATCTTATTTTAAAAGAATCTATATATATTGTTCTATCAATAAGATATCTAATATAAAGATTAGTTATGAAATTTTTTTACCGTATATCAAAACTATTGTCGCCTAACTAATTGATAATGTAATTGTTAATCTGTTCATTTTCTCTTGTATATAGTTCTCATAACAGTAAAAAAACTAAAAATGATCAATATTTTCATATGTAAAAATTAATTAGAATCAGGACTGTCAGAAGACTACGCAATACCACCAGATGCTTTAAGCTCAACGTCTCTTGAGTCAAGCATGCCAAGTCTTCTGCGTGTTTCTGGTGAAAGTCCAAAGAGACTCGAGTCTCTAGAGAAAACAGGTCACCTAGCGAAACTCGGTGGTAAACTCAAAACTTGGAGGAAACGATACTTTGTATTGAAAAATGGTGTATTATGCTACTGGAAGAGCCAAAATGATATTAATCGGAAGCCACAGGGTCAAATTTTTCTTGACGAAGTTTGCAGGTTATTACATCTATTACATTCTATTCAAACTTTATTATAAAAACTATTAACATTAATAACAAGGTATTAAATACTAAATAAAAATATATCCAACTAATTTTTAGTGACTTGTTTCTAGTCTTTAATGTTCAAAATTTATCATTTTATTTTAAAAAAATAGAATTTAAATAATAGAAATTTAAGAAAATCGACGAATATTCCAGTGATAATGTGTAATTTATACAGGATAAATAGAGCAGAAGGTGCAGCTACTTTTGAAATTGCAATTGGAAAAAAAACTTATTATTTAACCGCTGATTGCATAGCAACAATGGAAGATTGGATACGAGTGTTACAAAACGTACAGCGACGAAATGCTACGAAACTCTTATTAAGTAAAGAAGACAATAAACCAACGATACAAGGCTGGCTTACAAAAGTAAAAAATGGCCATGCGAAAAAATGTTGGTGCGTTCTTATTGGAAAAATGTTTCTTTATTTCAAATGCCCGAATGACATGGTACGTAATATTTACGTTATAATTGATTAATTTTTCTTATATAATTTTCAAAGGAAATATAAAAGAACAAATATAAATTAATATAAATTAATTAATAAAAAAAATTAAGATAAAATATAAATAAGTAAATTTTTAAAGACAGGCCTTGGAAAAAATATTTGTAATTTTATTTAATAAATATCTATATGTAAAAAAATATAACGATGGCTTATAATTTAAAAAACTGAAAATGAGTATAAATTTTGTTTAAATCCTACAAAAAGAAAAACAAAATTTACCATTGTCTATCGGACATAACTTTATTGAGAGCAATGTTTTAATATTGATTAAATAACATTATTAAACAACCGTTAATAATAATAAATTATAAATATTAAATAACAATTATTAAAACAATCAATTTTTTTGTAAATTATTTTATAAAAAATAAATATATACACAAGTATAATTGTTGATATTATTGCAAATAAGAAGAAAATAAGAAGCTAGATAAATAAATAATTAAATAGTATATCTTTATAATTAAGAACCACTAAATTGGAATGTTAATTCGAACATAGTATTTTTTAGAATCCTATTGGTCAGATAAATATGCGAGACGCTCGCGTTGAGGAAGTCGAACATGTTTCGGATAGTGATAGCGAAGAACGCGAATCAGAATCTGCACATGAGCAGACAATTGGAATTTTCCCATCTCATCAAGGCCCGACATACTTACTTATGCAGCATAAGCAAGACAAAGATAATTGGTTGTATCACTTAACAGTTGTATCCGGTGGTGGACCAAGTGCTGGTACCCAATATGAGCAACTCGTTCAAAGGCTCATGGAGACCGATGGCGATCCAAATTGCGTACTTTGGAGACATCCTTTATTATTACATTCTAAAGAGAATATAACAAGTCCCTTAACAAGTCTCACCTCGGAAATACTGCAGATAGAAGCCATAAAATTGTTCAAGGTAAGTTCATTATTCTTATTTTTTCATAACCTTTGGCTTATATGTTAAGTATCATAAATTCTTAAGAAATTATTGAATCTTTTTTTAAATTCATATGAAGAATTACATGAAATATAAATGATAGATTGGTAATTATATTTTCGGAATTAAAATGGTTGTATTATATAATGATGGAAATATTTCCAAGGCCAATACGAATATTTTAATAAATATTTTTGTTATTTAAAATTATTTATTTAACTTTCATTTATTTTATAATTGATTTTATATATTATATGCATCTGTAAAAAATATTTTTTACTATATAAAATTATTACTGTTATTAATATTAAATTCTAATAACTAAACTAATCAAATAAAAATTCAGTTAAATAATTTACGTTTTGTTATTATTGAAAAAGAAAAATAATTTTATTTGTAGAATATGGAAATAATGAATTTTATTGACTATAATTTTACCAATTTATTACTTTTATTACTTAAATAATAAATTAATAAACTTAAATAATTAAATTTAAATAAAATTAAGCAATAATTAATAAGGGGAGAATAATTTAATTAAATTTTATGTTAATATAATTTAATTTTTTATTAACGTATGATTTAAAATTTGCTAAAGTAATGATTAACTCGAGTTTGATAAATATTCTATAAGAAAGAATCTATGAATTTATTTTATTCAACTTAAGTAATTTTTTCTTCGTAAATTTAGGCTGTTCAACTATTTATGTCAGTCGCAGTCGAACAAGCCGGTATTGACTATCATGTCGTTCTTGCGCAAAACGCCTTGCAACAGTGTCTAGATCAACCGGAGCTTCAATCAGAATTTATATGCGCCTTGGTTAAACAAACCAGTCGTCACACACAGCATCGCTTGGGCGTACAGGTAAAAGAGGCAGCCAGACTAATGTTGCTGGGTATTGCGCGTGTTGTAAGTTTTGCTTATTGTTTAACCACATCAGTTTACCCATTGCACGATTGCATATAATCAGTAACATGTTTTATATAAAGTTATTTCTTAAAATGTTATTTGAAAAATATTGGATAAAAGTGTAGAATAAAAGGAAATACTTTTTAAGCTGATTTTTTAATAATAATTTAACTTCTATTATTATTAAAGTTTTTATACAATATCAATGATTTCGATGATATATTAAGTGCAAAATTGATTGAACTACAACATAATCGATCAAACGCGATACAGATTGAACTTTGAATAAATTTGAATTTTTATTATTTATAGTAATTATTCAAATTAATATTTCAATATCAATTTCAATATTTCAAATAGCTAAAAAAATAACATTTATTATTATTATTATTTAATAATTAAAAATAAAAATAATCTCACTAATAAATAATAAATTATGCATTGGGTAAACTCAGTCAAGTATGAAAACAATTATTTTACCTAAGTTAATAACAATTTCCATAAAATTTTCACTATCGACTATATGTTTCTTTAACATTTATATTCTTAAATTAATTAATAAAGTAATAATATATTCTATTTATCATTTTAATAAAAATAAAAATAAAAAAATGATCGTATTGACAACATATATGTTTAAACAAATTGCTATTTTTATACTAATTAAAATTAGTAAAAAAATAATGAATTTAATGTTCTTTTAATATACTATACTTGACAAAAAATTAATAATAAATTTAGTTATGAAATGCCGATTCACATTTTACTATTGTTTGCTGCTTTATATGTGCTACTGCTATATATGTATACTAACACAAATGCATGATTCTAATATATCTAAAATATTAATTTATTTATATTATATTATTATGATTATGAATAGAATTAATGAGTAGTAAATATATTTTAAAAAATCTCTAAATGATATTTATCAAATATATTTTAATATCTATGTATATTTAAGTATAAATTATTAACTTGCTGAAACTAGAATATAAATAAATTATATATACATAGATACCCATGGTTATAATAACTATCCAATACATTTTATATAAAATTTTAACGTTCCGCTATATATATATATATATATTTATTTATATTATTTAAAAGAATACATTTTTTATAATATCTCCAGGATTATTAATTATAAAAACGCTCATATACTCTATTTCATAAAATAATTCAAAATAACTCAATTGTGTAATACTTTCTAATATCACTCAACGTCCTATATATCCAATTAGGCAAGCCAAATGTACTTCGAAAGAATTCTATTTTCCTTAAGAGTGATGTATAAGCTTATTATATTAGAAAAAAAGTGCTTTCACTAATTCGAAGTACATTTAGCTATACGCACATTTGCAGAATGGTATGTTGGTGTACATGAAAAAATCACACACAAGAAATACATTCTCTTTAGACTCTCGATTTTTATTCTCTTTTATCTTTATCCCTTTAGTTAATATTTTTCTTCATTTTAATTAGATATTAGTTTATTTTACAAGACGGCTGATTTAATTAATTTTTTAATTAATAGTATCAGTTCCGAATTATAAATGTACATTAATTATGGCATATTGTAATCAATATATAATTATATAATACTAACATAAGCAACTCAAAATCTATAGAATAGAATCTGATAAACATTTTAATTTATCATTTAGGATTTCCTGTATATTGTATGTTTGACTAAAAATTATTAAGTTTTTCATGCATTAAGATAATTAGCTTTTACTTTTAAAGAGTTTTTCAATCAAATACGCTTACATAATTCCATCTGTTAATATTTTAGTCTCCTAAATATAATATTTTATTTTAAAACCCCTTTCATTAATTATTTTTCTCAATTCAACCCAGCTTTATACTTGACAATTAATTAATTATTAACATATAAATTTCAGTTTTTTAATTATTAATTATTGCTGATTATTGAATTGATTATTTAAGAATAGAATGTTCAATGTTTTAAATTTTCAAACGTTATTGCTATACTTGGTAAAAATATTATCGTGATTATTTGATCTTCAAATATTAAGGATTAAAACATTAACTTTACATATTTGTAAAAAATTATAAATAAAAAAGTGTTCATTTTATTCTACTTAAAACGAAAAATTTGTTTAACTCAATCTTTAAAAATATACATTTGTAAAGATTATTTTATTGTCGATTTATAATTTTCATTGCCACAAAATATTTTATATTCTATAATATATTAGGAGAAAATAATATATATATATATATATATATATATATATATATAATATTATTCTATTACAGTAGATTAAAGTTAAAAAATATTTTTAAATTATTTTATTTCTCTTATTTCAACAACATGTAAGATAATATTAAAATATAATAAATAAAAAAACTTTCTTTTATTATCGTTAAATCAATCAGTTATTACTAATTTAAAAGTACTATATACGATATACTGTAATACATTAAAATAGCTAAATTAAACTAAATTAATGAAATATTTAACTAACGAGCATTTCATTAAAATTTGAGTTTTTCTTATGTCAATTAAAATTATTAAAATTTAATATAGGCTAATATATATTAAATGTATGAAATATTTAATTAATTAACTACTGTTCAAATTCTCTCAACATTTTTGACAATAGATAAAATTTAATAATTAAAAATTTAATTTACTTATCATTATAGAAGGTTCTAATAAGGTCTTCAAAATATAATTCTTTCGAAACTTTTAAAATAATGCATTAATACTAAAAGCATTAATGAAGAAAATATTTCATTTTATTTTATAAATTTTTTAATTATATAAGTTAACAACGTACATTAATTATTCTAATTTTATCATCACCGTATAATTAATGCTTAAAATGTATTTATACACATTAATATTTTAGTAATCATGCCAATATTTTATTTCTTACAAGAAAAATGAGATATGAGAATTTTTTAATTGCAAATAAAACAAAGAGATTGTAATTATTTTTTTGTATGAACTTTTTTACAGTAGCACGATGAAATCATAATTTAATATTATTACTGAATATTATAAAATTTTCGATGAAATTACTTGCTTTGATTAATATATGTAAAAATAAGTATTTAAATATATATTGAAAAAATTATTTCTGGATACCGAAATTCTCACTAAATTTAATAATAATATGATCTTTGTTAACTCAACGTTTTCATCCCATTATTTATACTTGCAATATTTAATTATAAAAAAAGATATTAAATACATTGTTTTTCATTTAAAAATAAATCTAATATTATTTATATAAATCGAATACCAAACTATTAAGTTAAAAACTAAGATAATAATTTTTGTATTTTTAAAATATAATTATTTATATTGATAGGTAGAATTTCAAAATTCTAGAAAAAAGTAATATATATTTATATATACATACATATATATAATTTTATTATTAATCATATCTCAGCTAATATTTAATATTAATTTCATACAAGGCTCCCAGTTTTTAATGAAGCTCAGTAAGAAAATTAATAAGTTTGTAAATTCTTGATACATTTGAAAATCCTTTATGAAATTTTCTTTGTTAAATACAATTTTTAATATAGTCGAATATAGCTTGAACTAATTTAGAATTCGGGGGGAGGTAGATAGAAAAAGAGTGAGAGAGAGAGAGAGGGAGAGAGAGAAGGTAACTTAGCGTATAAATGTGTGCGTGCGTGTGTGTGAATTTTGGAGGAAGGAGTAGTATGCCAGCATACCATGACGTTGCAGCAACTCCTGTTGTGCGCCACCCACTCGCTCTTCACGTGCGATACGCAGGGCCCCGGGACAAGCGGGGCCAGCGATAATGCGGACGTTCAGTCGACTGCATCAACTTCTCACAGTCCTCCGCTCACGCAGGCTCACTCCTCCGCGAATCTTCTTGACTGTAAGACCAACCCGGCCCAGTACGTCCTTGTCCAGGGGTGGCAGCTGCTTGCCTTGGCCGTCTCACTCTTCCTACCCAGGAACAATCGATTGCTGTGGTACCTTAAGCTTCATCTGCAGAGGAATGCAGATACCAAGTAAGAAGCTTTCGTTATATTTCTACTTCAATTCTTTTTAATTCTTAACAACTATTTATACTACTACAATAAACAATGGATAGATAGATTATAGAATGCAAATGATATCACAAATACTTTTCTCACAAATTCTCATTCGAAAGTTTCAATTTTTAGAAGCTCATAAATAATAATAAAATGTATTTCTAACAATAGAGATAATAGATTTTATAATATATTTAAATTGTTATTGATTATAATATGCAATACAAGTATCGTAACTTAAAACTATATAAACGTGAATGACGATTTCTATTATATTTATATTTGTTATTTGTTTTTTCATTATAAACGAAAACATACTCTCTTTATTATACGGATTATTCTTTATAATATTTTTGTACAAAATATACGAACTAATTTATAAAAAATGTATTATATTTATAGTACAATTATCCTGCTAATGAAAATTATATTGAAAAAATATATACTTTAATAATTTATATATAAATGAAAGTTAAAATGAAATATATATTATTCATATAAGAAAAATTTTAAATAAAAGTATTTAAAGAAAAATAAAAAAATCTATAAAAAATAGTTTTAGGTTTATTTAGTATATATATGATATTTCTGTTTTTATTATTAATTTAATCTAATTTAATCTAAATTTTTATAACGTGAATAAAAAAAAAATAATTTGATGTAACAATACATAAAAATCAATATTTATTATATCATACGTTTTACTATACAATTATAAAATAAATTTTATTAAAAATCAGTAGGACAAAATAGTAAATTATTATTTATTATAAATTTGTACAAAATCTAATTTAATATTTTAAAAATACTACGTATCAACAGTTAATTTTTAAAAAATATAATAGAAATATAATAAAATAAATATATAGTTTTATATTACAACTTACTCTTAATGTTTTAAAAATGCATTTGAGAGATATTTTAAAAACTTTTTAAAAAATTTATAGAATCATGTAGAAGTATTTATATGCTCAAATAAATTAAATTTAATAAAGAATTACTTATCATTTTTAGGAATTAATAAGTTTTAAATTGTGATATTCTAAATTAAGTGCAACTACTAAATCTAATTATAAATATATAGAACGGAGTGTGGTAAATATGCAGCCTACTGCGAACGGGCGCTAGAACGCACTTTGCAAAATGGTTGTCGAGAGGTAAAACCTTCGAGAATGGAAGTTTTGTCAATTTTGCTGAAAAATCCCTATCATCACTCATTACCTCATGCAATTCCTGTGCATTTCCTCAACGGAACGTATCAGGTCGTTAGCTTTGATGGTAGTACTACTATCGAAGAGTTCCTTATGACCCTTAATCAGGAGATTTGCTGTAGAGATGTACATCAATCCGGCTTTACGCTTTTTAGTGATGATCCAATTGAAAAGGATCTCGAACACTTCATAGATCTGCAAGCTAAAGTAAGAATCATTTATTAAAACACTTTATATGTGGATTTTTTAAATCTATTTTCACTGTACTTGATTGAGTAGGCTGTCTATGGATGTCATAAAATTTTAATCTGTACCGAATTAGTTATTTATAAGATAAATAACTAATAATATAAATAATATAATTTAATATAAATTAAATTAATATAAATAAATAAATAAATAAATAAGAATAAATGTTAAGACATAATATTCGAAACTTTAAACATTACTAATTGAATTATATTATGTACGTAAAATAATTCTTTAAATTTAAAATAAAACTAGAATATACAAATACAAAAAATTTGTTTAAAAACGTAACGAGTAATTCTGTATATATAAATATATATAACACACATTAATCAGTTGAATGGAGTAAAAATAAATTAATTGACAAATGAAGTATGTATTAAATGCTAATAGAAAAAATAATATTAATTTTTTTACTATCTTTATCGAATCAAATTATCAAGAAGAAATATTTTTACACAAAATGTATTGTATTAAAGATAAAAAGCAATATTTAAAAGTTATTATACATATGCTAATATAAAAATTTCATTTTAAATAACTGTAAAATATTATTTTATGACTGAATAATGTATTTTTTTCTTATTTTACTAAAATAATGAAATAAGTGAACTAGACATATAATATTTAGAAAATATAGTTTGTATCATATATAGTATAGAAATGGCTTTTTAATTTTTTTAAATATATATTTCAATTATTCAATTTTAACTCTATTCTATCTATTTTAATAATGAAAAATTAATAATAAATATAATCTCTAAATATATTAATAAAAGATCGAGTTTTTGTTAACTCTTTTTGTTAATATTTTAAAATATCATTTTTAATGATAACTCAAAGTTATTCCTAGATGGAATATTAATTATGTTATATAAATAACTATTTTGATGTAATTATCAAGAAATTAATAAATGATATGTGAATAATATTTTATAAATTATTTTATTTATTTTATAAATATAATAAATATTGTAATAATGTTATAGTGATGTTTGGATTTTATATTTTCTATGTATTTTTTCATAAACAGCTTTGCGATATCATTTCCAAGTGGGAAACAGCATTACGAGAAAAAGGATCTGGAAAGTTCGAAAACACAAGGGTGATTCAACTTACTTATAAATCTCGATGTTATTGGAGACACGCAGCAAAAATGGAAACGGATCGAGAGCGGCTTTTGCTATGTTATCAAATTAATCAACAAGTCGTTCATGGAAAGTTCCCGGTTAGCCGAGAATTGGCCTTCGAACTTACAGCACTTATGGCGCAGGTGAATAATGAGAACTTATTTTTAATAGAAATATTAAGTTGAAGAGTCAAAATATATCTATTTATTCCCTAAAAATTTAATTAATAAATAATTCAAAACATTTGTTTTATTTTGAAAAGTGATTTAAAGTACTTTGTCAAATCAATTGTAATTTCACTATATTTTCCATATATTCTGTTTTTTATACATAATTTATCGATAATATTTTTCGTTACTAATTACATTTGCTTACAAAGTATATTATTAAAATTCAATTTTCTAGTTGAAAGTAAAAATATAATGACAATATTAGGAGTTTAAAATCTCTTTATATTATCTTTATATCGAACAGCTATCTCATATGAGATTTAATATTTATGAAAAGTTTCTTATTTAGAATATACTTTACTTTATTTAAAATAAATTTTCTTTCAATTTAATATAATCAATTTAGTATTAAGTAAAATATTAGTTTAATATTAATTTATTATGTAAGAAAATTAAAATAATAGATTCTTTTACTTTTCAATGGAAAGAAATTTTATTTTTGATATTTATAACAAATTTAATATCATTTATTTTATTTGTAAATTTTTCGTGTTTTGTAGATTGATTGTGGAGAATATAATATAGAAAAAGCACGTGGCAGTGGATCAAGTAACAATCCCCACCATTTAGTTTTGCAAGCCTTAGATAAATTTTATCCCATTAGATACCGTTCAAACATTACTGCTGATCACTTGAGGTGAATATTAAACATATTCTTAAATTTTTATCTTAAGTTAATCAAAAAAAAAAAAAAAAAAAATACTTTTAGAGAGTTACAGGATAAATTACAAGAAAAATGGATTTCTTTAAAAGGGCGAAGTGTTTTAGATTGTGTAAGAATTTATCTGACTTGTACAAGAAAATGGCCATTTTTTGGAGCAACACTTTATCAAGCTAAGGTGAGGAAGAAATATATTATAAAAATAAAAAAACAGAGACTTGGTTTACCTCATAGCTACGTACGTATATATAGTTTTATATATCACCCTTGATTATTGAAGTAAATATATTGAATTAAAAAAAATTCATTCAGTTTTCATGACTTATTTTATATTGTTTGTAAATCGTCTGACCAATGAATTTATAATGTACTGTTCATTTTTCATCCTTTATTAATTAATTCTTATAACGTTGAAGTAGATAAATCGATGTACCAAACGATCAACATATTAACAAAATTGTTACATCATTTCTTCTTACATTTTTCGTAAATAGAATATTGGTATTTATTATTGTACAAGTCAGAATCTATTATTTATTAAATGGCAAATAATTTAAGTAATGATTCGTGATGGCGGTAATGAACATTACAATATTATTAATACATTTTCGCGTAATAGGAAAAAAAATAAATTATAAAATTTCTAAAAATATATTAAAATGCATTAATTATAGCAGATAATTTAAAAATATGTTTAACAGTTAAAACAATCTGATCCATCAACGGTATGGATAGCAGTATCAGAGGATAGCGTTACCTTGCTCGAATTACAAAGTATGGCTATTATTTGTCGATACAATTACGGAAACATCGTTACGTTTGGTGGTTGTCTGGATGACTTTATGCTCGTAGCATGTCCAGATGAAGGTGCTGCTGAGCAAAAGCTTTTATTCGCTCTTAGTAAGCCCAAGGTTAGTCAAATAAAGAATTTGTGTAAAGATATATATTATGGGTATTTATAAAAAAATTAATGAAATATTAAAATCAGTATGCCATTATTACTGAATTTATAATTAATAATTTTTTAAGACAAATTTATAAATTAATTATAATTTTGCATTTATTTAGAATTATAATTTTCTTATAATTAATTTTTTTCCATTTATAGATTTTAGAAATTACTTTATTAATAGCAGATTACATGAATGCCTTGGGTCACACTTTACCTGGAACACCTCAAATGAATACTTTAACGCGAAATGGCTCACATCGATCTATAAAGTCTACCTTGAGAACTGCAACAGGTTTCAAGCTTAAATAATAAACTTATTCAAATTATTTCATCATAATAAAACCCCAAATTTTTATGTTCAAACAAATATACAATAAAAGATATTAGATACATTTTACACCAATAGTAATATATATATATATAATCATATATAAAAAAAATTAAAAAAAAAAAATTATTTAATAATTTAACAAGTATTAAATAATCGATCATCATATCATTAAATATAGATTATTTTTCCTTATTATAGGTGTTTTATACAAATATTTAGATTATTTGTGAATTTAATATAAAACAATATTTTAAATGCACAATAAATATTTACAGGTTCAAGTTGTCTGCCTATACAACCCGACATTCTTAAGTCTACTCCAGATCATCAACGGCCATGAAATAGCAATTTAAATCTTCCGAAATATTTTTTACTTGTAAACAATGTGACTCGGACAAGGTCATCAGTTACTCCAAGATTCTAAAGCAAACATTATAGATGTTACAAAATATAATTTGTAAATACAAGAAAGTTATACAAACGACACAATTGTTCTAACAAATTTGAATACGGAAGTATCTAATAATTATATACTGTGTTTACACAGATAAAAATTCATAATGAATGACGCAGGAGCTAATAAATAATCCAAGAAGTTAATTTTGAATTAATGAATAGAAAGAAAGATTAGTTACATTATACAGTTCTAGTTTTTTTAAAAACTGATTTACATTTCATAAGCAACAGCGAATAGAAAATACTAGTATTTGATACGCTTAATATTGAGATATTTAATTTAGATAATGGATGAATGAGAGATCTATAATTGACTAAATGTAGGAACTGAAATGAGCTAAAGCATTTTTAATATTTTTAAGAAAGTACGTTTTGACTTTAGTAATACTTGATACAGTAAGACAACTTTTTAAATACGAATTTTGGAGCCTTGAAACAAAATTGAATAGTAAATTCAAAACGTTTTAGACTAAATAGTGAGAAAATGTTTTTTGTTTTTTTAAATATCTTGTAACTTCTTATAACTTATATATTTATAATAATCCTTTTTATTATAATATAACAATGCTTTTATATTTTGGATTTTTTTAATTATACTTTACGAGTAGTTGAGTAATTCTCATGAAAATTTGATACATTGATTTTAGCATAAATATTATTTTGATTTTTATTATAGTTCTTAAACAAAACCTATTTTATTTATTCATTAAACTTAGGTTTCAATAGACATTTTGTATTTAGCATATAGAATTTGAATGTACAAATTGCAATAATACAGAAATATAAAGTTATATATATATATATATATATATATATATATATATATATATGAATAGGCAGAGATGCTTACACTACATACTCTCAAAAGACGTATCTATTTATTTGTAATTTAATAAAATAAGCATTTTAGTATAAGTATTCTTAATTAAATTTATCGTTGCATAATTTTCTTTTTTAGAATTTTTTTCCAAATTTGAAAGTAACCGAAATTCGACTGAAGGAAAAAATATATTGAATAATATTGGAAACATATACAAAAAATTGTTAATATGTTATTGCTAATAGAAAATAATACTTTGACTATTTAAACTTTCGTAAAAATATATATATATGATTATATTGCCATAAATGCAGGGTGCCTAAAAATAATCAACACACAAAAAACTAAACTCTTTGTATAAACAATTGCAATGATATTCAACAATCCCATTCGTTAATTTAGGTTACAACTTTTGTTTGTTTTTTTGTGACAACTAGTCTCATAAAATTGTTTAATTTATAGTAAGTTTTATAAAACACAATTCTTTGATGTATAAAAACGATGAGCAAGTAATTGTAAAATAATAACTTTTACTTTTAAAGAGAGCAGATATTCGAAAACGTAACCGTTTGTGAAGTATTAATTATTTTAGAAAATTGTAAGAAAATATTAATCTTTTTATAAATATATTAGTTGGATCATTATATTTTTTATTTAATTTATTTTGAAACCAGTTATAAATTAATAAATTAATTATACATTAATAGTTTGTAGTATCCTAGATGCACAGAATAATGTTTAATATAATTTCAATATTATTCAATATCCAATTCTTTTGTTAATCAACAAAAGAAAATTTAAATTAGAATATAAGAGATTTATTGTAATTATCATAGTCATTTTCAGTCATCAATTAATTTGTATTTTATTTTTAAAAATTTTAATTTTACCTTGTACATATGTACGATAAAAATATGTTGTGTACTTGAGTGCATGTATGAAAGAAATTTTGTTTTTACAATAAATAAGACATGATGGGCTTTACACAAACTGATATAGAAGTTTTGTACAAATGTATTTATTATGCCCTTAATAACTAGTAAGAAGTCTTCCTTTATGAAATAATTATAAATAAAATATTATTTGTACAGAAAAAAACTTAAAAAGGGCGTTCATATAATTTGTACAAGATTTCTATAATTCAACTCAAAATAGAAACAAAATTAAGATCGGATTAGTGTTTACTTTAATTTGGTATTCAACAGAATTTAAAAATTTTTAAGAAATATAAAGCAATATAAAGTAAGAGACATCTTAAAAAAACATTCATTTTTAAATACAAAAATATAAATGATCAGTTACACAACAAGTAATACATACAATAAAGTCATAAAATCGAAGTATTAAAAGTAGTTTAGTTAAATAAGTAAATACTGTTGTATTGCATTATTTATAAAAAAAAACAGCAATACAAAAAAAAAAATAATAAATGAAGTGAAATTTAAAAAAAAAGTGACGTTTTGTTTTATGTTTTTGATATAAAAAATTAATGTAATAAATTTATGAATGTAGAAAAATGTGAAAAATGTATTCATATTGTATATAATTATTGTATGTAAATTTATAGATACACAGCGGAAATACAGAAAAAATCCGTTCGAAAGTATATTAAAAAATAAGGTAATGCCAAGAATCGTACACATTATATGTTTCATAAATTTTTATAAATTATTTATTTGCAACAGAAATCAACGCTATAGACGCAATCAATGTACGAAGAAAATCATTATATATTGTATTATTGTACAAATAATAAATATGGTTAGTTCAAACGTGCAAATTGTTATATATTTTATTTACATATGGACCTTTCATTTTCAATTAATTTTAATCATGAAAAATTAAACAAATTTTAATTAATTATAATAATTGAAAATCTATATTTATTTTATTATTATTTATTATTAATAAAATAAAACAGCAAAATCGATTTTTCAAAAATTATTTATGTATTTTAAATAAAAAATACAATTATTTCATTATTAATCAAACATTTTTGCAAATGTCATATAAATAAATGTATATTATTTTATATATATATATATATATATATAAGGAAATAAAATGATTTAACGCGTACTATTTAAATATTAACATTTTAAATTATATTATATTATATTTTATTCATATTATATAATAAATAACTACATACATGTATAAAATGGATATACAGAATTATACTTGAATTAATATCCTAAGGTTTAAATGTATTACAACATAAATACGAATGTATATAATTATTCAATTATATAAAAAAACAAAAAAAAATTAAAATTAAATTTCAACCAAAGGAAGTTTCCATTACAAAAATTCGTATAAAAATAAATAAAATTAATAAGATATTGAAATTCATAAAAAATTTTGTTTTTCAATATACGTTATTTGGGTAAAGATACATAATTACTAAAATACGTTTACTATACTTCTAATACTTTACGATACGCTTTATATGCTAATTACAAAATATTAAATTTGATTTTTCTTTTATTTTTATTATATATTATTTGTTAAATTAAAAAATAATAATATAGAGAAAAGGAATATATTTTCTGTTATCTTCTTATCATCAAAATAAATTAATTTATAGTGTCGAAGGGCGAGAAAATGAACTAGCTCTGAGACATTGAAGCTATACAGACACATTCATCTTAAGATTATTTTTTAATTACTTCATAAAGAAGAAAGAATATCAAGGATTTTAGTCATAAAAGTAAAATTAAATGTTTATACAGTCTTTATTGTGCGTTAAATTAAAGATCCAGTTTATATTTTTAACATAAAATATTTACTCTTATTAAATTTTATTTAAGTTCAAAACTTAAACGATAAATAAGATTTACCTATATTTCTTTTTGCCTATTCGCATGATAAATTATATTTACTAATAATATCTCATTAGTTTATAAATATTATGGTAGTTTTAAAAATTTTCTTTTTTGCATTAGAACTAATAAAATTGGTTACATTAGTTTTAAAAAATAATTCTGCGACCCATAATTATAGCTAGTAATACTATACTTAACTGGATTGGAATATATATCTTTAAGAGCAATAAAAGTAGTATTCAATAATTAAAATTATTTTCTTTATAATTAGAACGAGGAATAAAATAATGCCTGTGTTTCTTACTAAGCCATGAGGTTTGCATTCTCATATTATACAATAATTTTTTATGCTAAAAATCAAGATTCAATTATTTATAATATTTAAATTAATTTGTGAAATAATATATTCCTTTATATTATATGTTATAGTGAAGTAATACTATATAACCATTGCCTTACATTATAGACGACGATAATGATTTAAAAAATGATTTCTACAAAAAACTGTGAATTATTCTCAATAAAAAGCAAATTGATTTTTTGGCTTATTTTAAGAAAATGTAATAATTAATAATAATATAAATGTGAATCGAAGTATAAAATTAGATAGTGGGACAATTTAATTCTAATAAAAATAGTTTTAACATATGAATATGAATTTCATTGAATGCAACTAGACAAAATCAATAGTGCAAAAGAAATACAAATGTGAAGGAAAATAAGGAGTTCGTATTGGATATATGTATTAAATTTTAAAAATGTTAATGTATTAAAATAGAAGGAAAAATTAAAATTAACATAATTAATATATAATGATAGTACCTAGAAAATAATTCATATTAAGTATTTTTTAAATTAGATATCTAGATCCAATTTAAAAATTATTGTAATTTATCACATCTCTATTGGAGAATGAATGTTTTACATAAGAACTATTTTAAAGTCAAGTTTCAAAAAAAAGATAAAAACATTTCAAATTAGATTGTAACTGTATTATAATAAATGAACTAAGAAATGAAAAATTATTAATTTAGTGAGCTTTCTCAAATGAATACACAATTATATACAGAAAATAAATTACAAATATTTTTAAAAATTACTATATTTTTTCAGGTTATTAATTATTTTTTATTAATTTTTTTTAATTTACTTTATATAATTAAATAGATATTTTGTTTATTCTACTTTGCCAATATAACAATTAAGTCTGGTGATACAACGTTCCACGTAGTTTTCTATTGAATTTTGCTGTGTTTGAACTTCGAAGGTAAGAAAATATTACAATATTTTCCTAAATACAATCCAACTTCTTTTCTACTATTCATATTATTTTATCTTATGATGAAAATACAGAATCAAATAAATATACTTAATAAATTTAAAGTAATAAATTCTTCAAAGATGTAAAATAAATTACGAAAAGATCAAGAGATTTTTCAAATGAAATAATCATAATTTTAGAAATATTAATTATTAAATAAATCTTAAATTTTATTTAAGAGCAATTAACAATAAAAAAAATAGTAATTTCTGTTTACATTATTCCTGACCGGAATATTTAATAGAATTTCCACTCCATGTTATTTGAAATTAAAAGTTAGCAAATACGAATTAAAATATAACAAATTCGTTTACTATTATTTAACTAAAAAGAATCTTTATATTTCTTATTAGCATTAATACACAAAATATTCTCTATAAAATTAATTTTTGTTCTAATTATTTGAAATTATAAATATGTGCTCGACGTATAATAAATGTATGTGCATATAATGCATATAGAGTATGCAAGTGTATAGCATATGTGATGCATATATAAATAAATGTATATTCATCATTAAAATTTAAAGAAATAATATGAAATTTTATGATAATGTGATCTTAGAAAATTTTCAAAAATCAATAATAATATATTGTAAGGCACATGAAAGAAAATCATTTAATATTTTTATAATTAGGATTGACTTGCTTATTTTTTGTAGATAAATACTTTTTATTTACATTAGAAATTGTATTATTTGTTTTTTTACTTTCCAATAATTAAATTAATAAACATTTACTTTTTTATTTAATATTCATGAGATATTTCTAACATATAAATATATAATCTATATCTTTAATTTCCTAAGTATAATTCAGAACACGTGAATCAATTAACAAAATTCTACATATTTATTAAAAATGAATGAGTGAATACACACATATATTGTTACTATTAACTATATATTATTATAGAATTCTCTATAACAAAGCAATAAAGTTATTTAAAAAGATTTTTTGCATATAAAAAAATTCACTATTCTTATACACTTTTTATTATAATGCCGTTTTCACGTACAATTAATTTTTTGTTTTTATTTCGCTTCTTTTATATTCGAAAATTGTAGTAAGCGATTCTGATATCTCATTAACGCGCACTCACAGTGGCAGCTGTATGTGGGAACAGGAATGCTAATAAATAATAAAATGAAATAAGTTGCTGGTTAGTTACAATTTACTAGAGTAGATTATTCGTACGTAATCTTATTTGAACTTTAATTGCCCAATTCTGCTACATCAGGCTAATCTGCTTCTATTCATTAATATTTTGTTTCTTGATAGCTTCTATATAATATCGTAATATCGATTAGAAACTAGCTTCCATTTTTCGCCTTCTTTGCTCATTCCATCGAATTCTTAAAACAATTTTTCTGCGTTTAATGTAAAATATTCGCATACATAGCAGAAGAACAAATCTTCCGTGACGTACTATAGGTTTTCATTAAAATTCAAAGAATCATAAATTAAAAATAAATATTGCACTAGTACAAATATAATTTATCAAACAGCAATTATAGTTTGTGATACTCCAAATTTATTAAATACAGCAAAAAATATTTTATATTATCAAAATTAATTAAAGTTTAAATTTTAAATTTAACATATGTTAAGATTTCAATCGTATTATTCAATTAAAATAATGAAAATAAAAGTAATAATATTATTCGAATAATAATTTTAACCATGCATTGTTAATAAAACTTTATTAAATACTAATGTTTTTTTGAAAAATAAATAAAACAATATCTATATACCTTTATTTACATACTCGTAGAGTTACACTGCTCTACAAATGTTTAAAATATATTTTTCTTTAAAGTAATTTATTCTAACTTGAGTTCTGTATTGTTGATTGCGTAGTCATACTTTAATTGGAATTCTGATTATTATTTTGTATGTTGCTATTAGGTCTTATATCAGAATAACTTATTTACTAGGTAGTTTTTTGACTGTATGAAATAATTGAACTTTATTGTATATGAAGTTCATTTTTTCCATAGATTTTGCTTTTAACTAGGTGTGCACGTTTATATATTTCATGTTACTTTATTTGGAGTAGTATTGTATGTCAACGTTTGTAAATGGACTTGAATTTTCATTACTCATCGGCAAAACTGATCACTATTGCATCCGTCGAATTTTCAGAAAAGGCAAATAGTGCATTATCTATTAATATATATATATGTATATATATAAACAGGATCTTGTTTTCTCATAATTATATAACTGATCCTTAGTATGCTTATGCTTAGATTATTTTAAAATATTTTAATGTAGTTTAATTTTTATAAAATTTTTTCTAAGAAAACAAATTTAATTTTAGTATATAAAAATTAATTGTTTTGTAATCTGATTTTCAGACGCTGCATGTAAAATAACTATTTTCGATGGCAAATAAATATAAAATATAACATTGTCAAAAGTTTAATTTATTATATTATCTACTGAATCATAACAACGGAATTATAATGATTTCTTACAATAAAACTATAATTCATAATAAATATTTATTCGTTGTAATATTAATAATAAAATAATATAAAACGTTGAAAATTCTTATATAGATCCAGTCATATAAATTCTTTTATATAAATAAATCATTTTGAAACAATGCTTGTAACTTTAACAATTCATTGTAAAGTTTGGTTTTATACAAAAGAATTTTACAATTTTCGATTTTTTACCTTTTAGTTTCAATTCAATATTAATATCAATAATGAAAAAAAAATTATTGTAAATATTACAAATGATAATAGTATAAATACCAATAATAATAATAATAATAATAATAATTAAGATAATAATAGTATTTATTGTTATTCTATACATATTTTCACTCTTTAATTACGTTTTTTTTTTGTTAAAACCTACGTTTGTCAAAGTATTTGTCGAAAAATTAGCACTGTATTTGGTGTGCAATCAGTCTTTCCCCCAATCAATATCTATCATTTCTTTATTTTATATGTAATACAGTACGATACAAGTCTTCTTTCTTTATGTACCATCTACATTATATTTTATTTCTTCTAATTTTTATTTAGGTAAACGTCACAGCTTTCGTACAGAATATACCCATGTGCACAGGCATGAGTGTATTTACGTACTAACGTATTTTTAAGCTTCGATGAGATCAATAGAGGATATTCTAAATATTACATTTATACACATATTCCTTAATGAGATTAAGATTACATCTGTTCATTTCTAATATAATATTTATGCTATTTTTTAAATATTATTAGTCATTTATTTATTATTTTATTAAGTTTTCATATGATTCGTTAATGAATTTGGTATAACGTTTCGACAGGTATTTAAACCTGTTGAACATAATCACATTTCGTTTTATTTCTTGCAATTCTTATTTCTCTTACTCTCCTTCTTTGGTGGCAATTTGATTCTGCTCAAAGGAAACGAAAAAAATCTTTTAATAGATTTTCGTCTTTTGCTCAGATAGTTTTTCCAATTAGATGTTTGTCGTTGAATAGAGGCTTCATGCGTGCATTTAACAAAAGCTAAATCCTAAAAATTAAAATTTCATTTAGTTAAGTGATATTTTATACATAAAATTATGTAGATATTTCTTTAAATTTTTGTTTACAAAATATACATGAATTGGAAACTGCATACAAATTTATAAATCTAAGTCATTGCGTATTTATTGCAAAGGCAGTTTGAGATTTAAATAGAAATAATGTTACAATATGTTGTTTGTTTTTAATTTAAGAAAAATTGATTTTATTTTATTAAATTTATTAAATATCAAATTATTATTCTGAATTATTATATTCTGCGTATATGTAATTGAACGAATATATTCAATAGAAAACACTTCTTACATTGCATATTACACTTAATTTATTAAAATTGTAATATTTCATTAAGTTATATTACAATTTTTTGCTATTTGTGTCACTTAAAATCTAATATACATTCTTAAAATTAATAATTTAAGGTCAAATAAAATTTACCTGCTCCTATAAGGGAGTTTCCTTTCTAGCTTCTGCTTTCCACTGAAATCCATTAACGCGTGTAGTTACAGATTTATTTCGATTCGTTGCATTTTCGATTCCATTTCTAACTCCAGCAACTAAACGCATTGCCGGGTTAGATGAAACTAAGCCATTTCGTTTTGGTCTTGAATTTCCAATACTGAATTAAAGCGTTGATTACGAGTTGTAGTAATAAAAAAAAAAAATTATTAAATATATGTTTTCAATAAATTTTTAAAATATTAAAATTTCTTCTTCAAATATAGTAAAATAACTTTTTATAATATTTAATAATAATTCTATTAATATTTCATTAAAATAAATAAATCTAACTTATTGTTGTATGATAAATTTGTAATGACATGAACTTTATATCTACTGTTATATGACATGATAAAAAAATGTTTGCTGAATATATTATTGTGTTATTAAATACCTTCTGTACATACTAATAAAATAAATAACATAAATAGCAAATATATATAAAATATCAAAACGTATATTATATATAAAAATGTTAATAATTTTTTAAAAAATATAGTAAACGATGTATATCTCTTTAAAAATTTATTAGAATAAAATTATCAAATTAAAATTTCATTATAATTTAGCATTCTTTATATTGAAAACATTAAAATTTTACAGAATTTTAACAACAGCTATAACAGCAAAAATAATTTTAATAGTAAGAATTATATTTAAATTATTGTCAATAAATCTATTGCAATAAAAAAAAAACTTACTTTCCACTTAAATTATTTGAGTTATGTTTAACATTTCGTCCCACTCCTGCGCCACTATTTCCTAAAATAATCCTCATGTGAGTATCCCTAGTAAAATGTGTATCAGCAGGCTTCTTTTCTTCACAATAGTTTTTTCTTTCATTGTTAAAAGGTAGTCCGAGCATCTCATTTGTCAACTCAAACGGCTTGGTTTCTGTGCCACTCTCCATTTGATGCTATCATGGATAATATTATATAGTTTAGTATTGTACATAATTTAGATAATATTAATAGTTAAGTTTGAAATTGTAATAAATAATTGCTTTAGAGAAAAACTTGATAGTATTATTCCCTACAAAATAAAGCTGTTTAATTTTGTACAAGTTTATAGAATAATTATGAATAATTTAAAAATCTTAAGAAAAAACTTATTAAATTAAAATTCAATCAATTCTTAATAACCAACGGATATTATGTCACAAAGTGAATTTAATTTTAATACAATTACTTTAAATATAGAAATTTAGCATAGAAATTTAATATTTTAATCTGATAAATTATATTGTAACTTTCAAAAGAATAATATTATTAAAAACTTGAATTCGGATTAATAAAGACGGATATTGATAGCAAAGTTTTTCAATCTAATGTAAAAGAAATTAGAAATAAATAAGGGAAAATATCATTTCCTCTTCTTTAATATACATTATAATATGCTTACCATATGTTGGTTTTTTTTAATGCAAATAGCATCATAAAGAGCTCCCGTGCGATCGTAGGCATGTGCCGATTTATATTGAGTGCTGTGGTTCGCTGTTAGCAGTGATACGCCCAGTTGGCTTTGAATTATACTTGCCGCAGTCTGTGCGCTAGGAGGACTATTGTTGGTTGGTGAATACGGAATGATGCTGTCGCTAGAGGGTGAGTGTGGTGGTGAAGCATATATTGGACTCTGGGGTTCACTTCTTAGAGGTGAAAGAAGTTTGCTGAGAGGTCTAGACTTTATACCCCGTGAGCATTGTTGTAACTGTTGTGTAAATGATAGTACTGCCTAAATAGAAGTTAATGATTCAAACTTGGATTAAACATTTTATAAAAATGCCGTGAGATTGAAAATTTCATATTAGAAAATAAAATATTGTTATTACATTGTTTTTCAAGATAATCAATAACAGTAAAAATCTTCATTTTTAATTTACATTAAAAGAATGTACAATGTATCCTTTTTTAATATTTATGCATTTTATTTTAAATGTAATATGATTAAACAAATAATAGATAAATGACAATAATATATTTATTGATGTAAAATATCATATGGGTTGGAGGGATATTTTATTTTACAATTTATTTTATAATTTTATTTTCTTACCTTGCTTGAACCTTGATTGATTATAGGTGAATTTTGATTAATTTTGCATCGGTCACTTTTAGTACTTCCTGTTAAATTGCTACTAGATTTGCTATTACTTGAATTATTACCTAACGATATACAACTTCGCCTCTTGGTAGAATCTGGTGATTCTGCCGGACTATATTGTGTTGATATTGGGTTTAATATCGCAGATGAAGGCTTTGTTTCTGTTGTTGAATTAGAAGTAACTGAAGCTGTGCTACTACTCCCTGCTACAATTATACGTTTATACTTTTACGAAAATATATAATATAAATTTTAAAACATTATAATAAAGTCATTGCTGCATATGCATATTTAAGCAAATGATTAAAAAGTCATTACTAACATAATTAAACCAATAATTACTGAGCAGTAGTGTACATGTAATAAATGTCAATATTTGAATTGACTTATTCACTTAAATGTTTACCTGCTCTTGAACAGCGTCGGTTGGCAGCGTATTCTTCTAGTAATTTAACTACAGTATCATGCCCACTCTTTGCTGCAACTTTAATAGCGTTTCTTCCACAGTGATCAGAATGATTAGGATCTGCTCCGTGATTCAACAATGCTCGAACACAATTCTCATGTCCTTCTTGAGCAGCAATTCCTATGAATATTATTTTATTTTATTTGTGATGTTTAATTTTTCCTTAACATGCGACTAAGGTATTATTATTTTATATTTTATGTATAACATTATTACAACATTCTTATAGTATTTAAAATTTTAATTAAAATTGCGTTGTATTTGCTTTACATTTATTTTTAATAATTATTTTTATCAAATAAATTATATGTTATAAAACAAATATTTTAACAATAAGAATAGATGCTTGAGAGAAATTTGATTAATTAATTAATGATTTTAATACAGATTAAAACAAAAATTATTTAATTGTCTTAATTTTCTAATTAATTCTTTGCTTGGTACCCAGAGCTGTAGCTCCTTGATTGCAAGTATGATCAGGAGTAGCTCCATGTTCAAGAAGCAGTCGAACTATCGCTGCATGTCCTTGCCAAGCAGCGGAGTGTAAAGGTGTTCGGTTTTCGTTATCTCGAGCATTAACGCTCGCACAGCCTTCAGTTAATAAAAGCGCCACCATTTCAACATGACCTTGCCAAGCACTCACATGCAGAGCTGTTCGACCCTAATTAAGTAATTATATAATTAATTTATTATGGAAAATCAAATTTGTAAGTTTAATAAGGTTATACCATTCATAATTAAATAAATGATAAACAAAAACATAACTATTTTTCATATATTTTAATAGCTTTTTTATTATAAGTATTCGTTTAATTGTCTGTCAATACTATTGTTTTTATCTGTAATTATATTAATGATTAATATTTTGAGGGATAAAATACAATAACATTTACAATAATTAAAATACTTATTTAAAAGGCAATTAGTAAAATTAGTACGATTTATAATTGTAATATAAAATTTATAAAAGTTAAAATGAAAAAATTAAGTATACTAACAGTAGATGAATGAACAGATCCTATAAAAATCTATTATTAATAGAAAACTATTTACTTAATCAAATTATTTTGTTAGCATATATGAATTGTTAAAATTTATATACAGACTAGTTGGTGTATACAATTTTACTAATAATTTATTAATTAATTCTAATTGAAGTTCATCACCATTTCATTTAATCTATTTAAAGTTCTCATTATTAATTTCTCAAACTCGAATAGAAACCTAGAAGTATTTTAAAAAAATTTATAAGAATTTAATAGACGTTTTATTTTTCAATGTCTATTTTTATAGATATTACAAAAAATATTCTTAACATATATAACCTAAAAATAAAATATGTATAGTAATCTGTTTGAAGATGTAAAATAGCTTTTCTAATGTTACTTTCAGTATACAATTTTATATAAATTATTTTAATATTGTTTTTTTAAAATTTTAATTATATTTTTTTATATATTTTTTATCTTTAGTTGAAATTGATGTAAATTTTACCTCTGAATCTCTACTTTCAATGTTAGGACGAGCTTGCTCCAATAAAAATGTAGCCATTGCCAATCTATTTTCTAAAGCAAGAATGTAAAGTATACTTCGTCCATCTGCATCCTTTGCATTTATATCAGCTTTATGATAGAGTAACACTTTCACAGTATCATAATACCCTTCTAAAGCAGCTAGTCTAAATAAAAATATTAAAGTTAATAAATAAATAGTACTTAAATTATAAGAATGAGTAGTTAATTAATAATAGTAAATATTTATTTTAATTATTAATTATAACAATTACGACAATTTTTTTATTAAAACCAACTGGATGAGTATATGAAGAATATACCATGTATATCACTGAATTACTTTTGTATTTAGCAAAAAAAAAAAAAAAATCGAGAGTAAAGAAGAGAGTAGAAGGAGAAGGTAACAATAAAAAAAAATATCACAAACTTATTTCGTGTAATTACCCGATGATAATCATTTTCCTTGACAATCTTTTTCACAAAACTTCACATCATTAGTAGTGTTCTAATCTCGTATTTAGTACATAATTTGTGCACAATTGTGATACACACGCTGATCTTACCTAAGAGCAGTTTTGCCGTCGTGTGCATGTTGGTCGATAGGAGCAGTATGTTGTTCAATGAGTCTCTCGACGAGATTAGTATGACCTTCTTGTGCAGCGAGCATTAGTGCACCTTTTCCATCGTTATCGGTTTCGTCGATCTTCGCACCTGCTTCTAAAAGCGCTTCGCACACATTCATGTGACCTTCGAATGCCGCATAGTGTAAGGGTGTCCAGCCCGAATTATCCCTATGCTGTTCGTCTAAGCCTACAAAAATTGTTTAGCAGTTATAATCTTTTATTTTGTCATTTAATAAAACCACTCTGTATTTTACATATTTTTAGCTCGTTTAACGATTTGTAAAATATTAAAGAAGATAATAAAATATGAATTTTTAAAATGTTTTATTAATTCTTAGAAAATATTGTTATGACTAAAATATTACTGCTTTTATATATGATTCTAGAAACAAATTCGAATTTTACAAAAATATATGACAAAGTTTTTAAATATATGGCTCTTAATATTTTTGTTTATAAATTTCTTATTTCCGAACGGAATAAAATTAAAAAGACGTATATAAATTTTTAAAATAAAAAACAGATAGAATGGAAGAATTTATTTAAAAATATAATTATTCTAAAAAATTCCAAGACCATAGAATCATTTTCATTAGAAAATAAGAAATTTATAATTATATCTATTGTTCTCGAATTTTTACTCAATATTAATTTAATAATCAATATATTGTTCTAATGTCGAGAATTAAATACACATTGTTTTATAAATTTAAACATAGTAACTTTAAATATTTTGTTATGCATAGTTTAAATTACTTTTACATTTATGATTTTATTATTAATATACATCATTATATAGAACAATAAACATTATTTAGAAGACACCATTAATAGGAAAATATTAATTGTATAATTTAAGAAAAAAACAATCAAAATTATTAAGAATATTGCTTTTGTAAAATATTTTTAGTAATTTTCAGAAAAAATATAAAATTTCACATAAATAATATTAATTAATCGACATTCAATAAAATATAAGAGTTTTCTAATCAGCCGAAGACGATATACCTCTGTTAAGAAGGAGTTTAACTACATCGGTGCCACCTTGTGCACCAGCGACACTCAGAACTGTTCTGCCCTCGTTGTCAATACTATCGACATAACAGCCCCAAAAAAGTAGGAGAGCCACAACCGAACCATGGCCCATACTCGCAGCAGCCCAAAGGGGCGTTCTTCCAGTAGCGTCGCAGTGGTCCACATCCGCTTCGTATTCCAGCAGTAGTTCACATACGTCACGATGACCTTCGAATGCGGCCACGAGAAGTGGTGTCATACTGTCCTTGTCCTGATGATTAACATCTGCACCACGCTCTAATAGTAAGCTCACCACCTTTGAAGTATGATGGAATGCTCGATAAATCAATCAAATTTAATAACTATAATATTTTTCTTACTTTATTAAAATTTACACATTTCCGATGGGAAATAAGATTGCCAGAGAATAAGTATTTAAAGTCATAAAGTACATAGTAATAAGATAAGTTTCATTATTTATTTCATAAGAATGTATTATAACACCTTGTAAAAATATAACAACGATAAAACTAAATTCGGTCTTTTTTTATTAATACAGAATAAAATATTATATTGACGATTAAATGAAAATCAATTTTTTATTTGACTTGTTTAATACGTTAAAATATGTTTGTAAATTATCAATTAATTTTCTAAGAGTTAAATAGTATTTTATGAACTTGATAATGAAATATAATATAATAAAAATTATTAAAATTTCGACGAACTTTAGCGTATCCATGATTGAAGGGCACGCTAAGCACAGCAACATTCAAAGCCGTTCGACCGTCACTATCAGCGTGATCGATTTCTGCACCAAAATCTAACAGGTGCTCAACTATCTCGCTATGGCCCATATAAGCCGCGGCAATAAGTGCTGTACGGCCTTCATCATCGGTACGATTGACGTCGGCTCCATGCTGCAGCAGTGCTTTTACGATTTCCTCGTGTCCACCCCAGGCAGCTGCTCGCAGCGCTGTTCGCTGATCCCAGTCTGCGCAATCTACCAGCGCTGAGCAGTCAAGCAGCTGCTCTACCACCTGCAGTAATCAATTGCTCTTTATTTTTATAAAATACTTAATAAGTAATAAAAATAATTGGACAAATCTGACAAGATGAATAATATTGTTTTTAATATACATTGTATTGAAAATGTACAACTTCCGTTTATTTCAATTGTTTTTATTTTCCGATGATACAAATATTGAATCAGTTCATTTATTATTGTATATTAAATATAATGACATTCGATAATAATAATATTTAATAATATTTTCCATAAAAGTCATTTCATTTCTATCATATTTATTTAATTTTTACATTTTTAACAATGACAACTTTTACATAACGATTTAATATAGTCATTATATATGATTAAGTTTTCCTAAATATGCTATTTATTTATTTGTTATTCAAATATTATTACTATTTATGAGTATATAATTGTGATCCAGAATTATAAAGTTTAATCTAGTATTATAAAAAAAAAAGAATTAAGGTGCCATATACAAAATTATTTTGAAAATTAGATGATAAATATTAAGTAAATCTATAAATAGCAAATATTGACATTAATAGTTTGAAAAAAATAATTGGATTACCTTTGTGTGACCTCCCCATGCAGCGGCTCTTAAGGCAGTCCAACCATCGCAATCAGCATGATCGACATTAGTACCAGCGGCTAAAAGAATCTTAACGACCGCAGAATATCCATGACGTGCAGCAAGATTTAGCGCCGTTTGTCCATGGCGGTCAGTTGCCTCCAGTTTAGCCTATAAGTTATGTTTATACGAAATTAATGATTATGTATGTTTTTATGTTTATACCAAATTAATGATAATGATTATGTAAATAAATTTTATTTAAAAAAATACTACTTTTATTAAGACAATATTTCTAAAAATTGTCATAAATAGTAAATTCAATATTGGAACTTTAGCTTTATAATATTAATAAGCTACGAATGAATAATTATCATATAAAAAGATTTAAAATTAGAGTACACTTATTTCATGTAATAATTGATTTTACAAACTTTACCTCAGGATAAGCTTCGAGAGCCAATTCAAGAAGAGTTGCATTTCCATCTGTTGCAAGATTATGTAATATGGTACGGCCACACGAATCCGTTTGATTGATGTCACCGTTTTCACCAAGAAGTTCAATCAATGGTTCCAACGGTGACTCATCCATTGGTGTTGAATTACGTGAAATCTAGCATTCAAAAGCTTGATAATTATGATAAATTTAAGCAATTTTACAATTTGAATGTAAATTATAATAAAAATTCTAATATAAATAAAATATTTTAAATGGCAATAAATTAAATTTCCAATATAAAATAATAGAATATATTTATTATCTTTTTATAAATATATTACTAATTTCTTAATCATACAACAGAAAGTAACCAATGACAAACCAATTTTATTCATAATGCATTTATTCTAAATGTTTATACTATTAAATGCATTGTTAAAAAAAAATTTCAATGTCAAATAGATCGATTATTTCGGCGAAGTCTACGGACTATTAAAATAAATTCATTTATATCTATATTCGAGATATTTTTGGTGAGGAAAAAATATTGAGTTAACATACGTGACTAGAAGAGACATGGGTATTATGGTTCGATTCTTCGTTATTGGTGATCTTTTGCGACAATTTTGCTCCTGCGTCGATCAAAAGTTTAAGAAGTTTGACATCTTGTTTGGGCCATAATATACATTCACTGCTATCCAAATAACATTGCGTGAATCGGGCACCACTACCTATTAACCATAAGAGCTGAAGAGTGTAAGAGTCGAGTATCGATGGTTGTGGTTGTATTTGCAGTATCGTAGAAATTGCTGCAACCTCGCCGGTCCCCGTGGTTGCTGTCGCCGATTGCTGCTGATGATGATGTTGAAAATAAGTTCGTTGCTGCTGGTGCTGTTGTTGATGAAAGAACGTACTCTGCACATGTTGGGATAACACACAAATTTCGTCTGGATTGAGATTACTGGCTCGCAATGTATACTGCATGGCCAGCATCGCGTGTCCTACAAGTTTTATTAATTGAGAGATTAGAAAAATCATAGTAAACTATCAACGAATACATTTGTATCTAAAATATTAGCCATTTCTTATTTTTAACATTAAATTTATAAGTATCAATCGAGGATTCTAATCAATCTTCTAATTCCTATAAAAAATATATAAATTATTTATTATTTTTATTGTTTATGTAATACTTTATAAGTGTATTTATTAAACAAATTTTAATTAATTTTTGTAAATAAACCTATAGTATTTTTCTTAATTTAAAGCTGATTCTAAAATTTGTATAGAAATATCAGATAGAATATAGAATAATTTTTATTACCATGGTGAATGGTATTATAATAATGTTCAATGTATTCATCATATACAAATAAGTACTAAAGAATGTTTGCAAGTATAACTACATAGAAATTAAACCATAGCAATATAAATAAAATCGTATGTGTGTAATAAAAATTGGTGGTTATCTGTCTATACACACCTTCTGTAGCGGAACACAAATACTTTTGCGTGCAGTGCTTAACATCAAGCAGCCACTCTGCGAAACTGTGATGGAAAAGCATTAGAGCGCCAGCGCGAGACACTGAAATAACTCGACGTAGTAGATGTAGCTGACGATTGAAATCCTCTTGAGTGAGTAGAGGATTTGCCGTCCTCACACAATCGAACAGTATTGATTGGCTTATTGGCAGCTTTGCAGCAAGAATAACATTCAGTAGTGGCTGTACCTTAGCGAATTGCTTTCTACTAAATAGCCGCTGGCATAGCCATAGGTAAAGGCCGTTCAAAGTACCTAATCATAGTTTTTTATTGTAATAACATTTAACGTCTATCAAAGTTATTTGCAGAATTAAATATTTAAACAATTGGTACTTTTATAAATTTATAAATTTAATTTAACTATTTGCAAAAAATTATGCTTTTTAAGAGATAAGATTTTTTTAAGCGGTATCGATTTTTAATTGAATTATTTTATTGAAATATGAAATGAAAATATATATACGTACAATAGAAAATCCATTTTCTAATTTAAGAAATGTTATTTATTTGCGAATTAAATAAAATAATTGAATGTTTATGAAAGTTTTAGATGCGAACATATTTGTTGTCAAGCAATATTAAAAAATTAATTTATAATAATTGAAAAATCATTACAGATCTCTTTCATAATCTTTTTATTATATGAAATAAAATCGTAAGATTCAATTATATATTATAAAGCATTAATAAAATTAATAATAATGTTTTCTTATTTCTATATAATTTCAAATTAATTCTATATAATTCAATTAATCATAAGTGAACTATAAGCAAATATCTTTATAGTTGAAATTACACGTTAGAATTGCCTGTTAAACAATATTCGTTTAAAAATGATATCGCGAGTAGGAATTTCCAATGTATAGTTTATAAATAATTATTGGATGAAAATTATAATGAAAGTTACTGGAAATTATTGACAACAAACCAGGAATTTCTCTAACTTCACGAAGAACAATGAAGTTCTCGGCTACGCCATCGAGGACCTTTTCCAAATACAGAAAGCAACCATTACTCTTAATGTGCAAATGATTCAGCATTTCAGCAGTATCTCTTGAAATATGTTGTCTGAGAGCGTCTTCTTGATCGAGCCGCGCTAGTATGTAGTGCTGAACATCTCGAACAACTTGAGATTTACGTAAATCGTCAAGGGCGATCTTGCGAAATCCCGTGAACATACGTAAAATAGCTTTACTTTGACGGCGCGCTGTACAGACAAGTAACAACCACTGAGGGAAAAGATGGTGATGGCTAGCAAGGAGCTCAGCAATTGTACGAGAAACCTCGTCTTCGTCCTCATTTTCCGAATCACGTTTCGACTCCCGACCGATACTGCCTGCATTTAGCGCCAATAGGCTTGCACTAGACATCTAAAAAAAACAATATTTACCTGCACTTGCTTTTACTATTTCCTCTTGTTTATGCTATTAAAACAATTTGATGACACGTGATATTTTTAATTTTGTAATAATAATTATTTTCGTAGCTTAATTAATCACGATTAAAACTTCGATTTATAGCTACATCTATTTTTATTTATCACATAAGAATATATAATATGAACTAAAATATTAAATTTAAAACTGCACATGTAAACAATACTAATAACTTTATAGTAGTTTTTATATTTGATTTTTTTTATCACACTTCCAACCAACATCAATATGAAATCGTTCATTCGTTCATAGCGGAGTTATTTATTTAGCGTTTAAACTATGATAGAATTTTGACGAGTCACCTGTTGCAAGCAGGAATTGCCACAATTGAGGATTGGGCCCTCATCGATCGAATCCACGACTAACATGAGGCAATCCTTAGGCGGCTCGACTTCGAGCAAGGGTAAAAGAACAGCTTTTCTGAGTGCCTCATCAGGGTTTCGATCGAGTATCTCAGGCTGTAGGGCTGCTTGTATATCCGAGTCGGTACGCAGCTTTTCGGCATAAGCTTCGGCAATTGACTCTCGTGAAGACATGGAGGAAACTGAAGGGCCAGCGTTCCCGTGTGTGTCAGCCTCGTTGATTGTCGATTCATTGTTTGCCGTCGTTGTCAATATCGTTGTTGTACTACCACTGGGCGAGTTTGGTGGCTACGAACCGTCAATAAATTTAATTATTTACCAATTTTAATATTTAAAGTTAATACCTAAATATACATAGGTGTCAAATTTTATAAGTTCAAAAATAAAAAAATTTTATAACAGTATTATTATATGTATTTTAATTACATAAAACTATTCAAAATTTACTTATGGAGTTATCTTTTTCACATAAAAAAGTTATTAAAAAAAATTACAAAATTATATTATAATTATTGAAAATTTAAAATTGTATTTAAAATGTTATCGAGTAAGCATAAAATACAGTTTCTGTATTTTTATTAAATAATCTTGGAATTAATTGATTGAAAAAAAGACAGATTTGAAAGTACAATTTTAAAACTATTAGTTAGTATATATTTTTGAAATATAAATGTTAAATAACGATTTATTTTATATATTCGTGTCTACCCTCAATATGTTTTATAATATTTAGTTGCTGAGTTATAAACAGTCATATTATTATATATATTAACAAACTTTATTAACAAATTCTGAAAGAAATTTGTCATTTTATGATAAAAATCTTTTTATATTTATAATTTTTGAATATTCTAAGATTTAACATTTTCAAATGATTTTTATTTTAGAATAACTGTTACATCACGAGTATCTTCATTTCGATATTAGTACCAACGTTAAAAGAATTTTCATCCATTAGCATAGTTTTACTGTGACGTCATAATGCAATGTACGTTAATGTTACGATGTGAAGTAGAATGGAATTTAAATTGCTTTTGATTTCCGTGCATACGATCTATAAATTAAATCTATAAAATTAAATATGTTAGTCTAAAAACTTCATATTACGTACTATCAATACTGTAAAAATAGTTAATTTACTATAAGATCAACAATATCAATATCTGTTATTTAATGTCCTATTTTCCAATGGACATATCCATTGAAACATGATTTTGTAATAATTGATGTTTTTTATAATACTTTTTATTGAAAAGCTTATATTAATTTAATTATAAGCGTTAATCATTGTATATCTACGAATTATGTGCTTTTAGGCATTGAATGACATTTTCATTTTTCTTTTACAATTTCGAATAATATTATGTATATTATACAGACTCTTTTTATTGTTTTATTAAAATAAAGCAATGATTTGTATTAGATTAAAATGATCAATTTTAATATAATATTATTTGTCTGAATTAATATGTGTTGAAAATATTATAACATTGATTGTAAAAATTTCACATTTCGCGTTTAATGGAAAAATAAAATAAAAATATTTTAGAACTTAATTTTTTAATCATTTTCATATTTATTTATAATTTTAAGAAAACAAATTATCAAGTTAAAAATAAGATCTAATAAAAATTAATATTTTTTTTCAATAAAAGCATTTATTTCATCTTTAAACAATTTATTTTTGTCACAAGTATAGATTTCCAGACTACATTCAGACTACACATAGACTCTAACATAGTAGGTAATAGGATATTAAAGATACTTCGTGAAATTAAAGATGTACTATTTAATTTGTGTTAATTTAAATTTAATTCGTATTAAATTTCTACACATTAGGTAACTTGACAGAACATAACTTGAACCATAACTTCGACTAATAAATTATTACGATGTTTAGAAATGTTAAATTATCTTTTTATATTACGGTCCTTTGAAAAAGATTCAACTGATTTATTTTATACCTTAAGATGAATTTATTGTGGTTCACTTTAAATTGAAACATTTTTCGTATATGAAATTTTGAAATTATAGCCCATTTTGTTATTAATCTTACGTTTATTTTATTTGCTAATTTAAACCAAACGTTTTTATGACGAATTTGAGTAAGTTTATCAAACATTACTACTTAAAGCTATGTATCAATTAAAACATAATATTACATTAACAAGCTCTCATTTCCATCTGACATGATTCTAAACGAGATATTTTTAGAGATGTGACCAAGAATGTAATCATGGAAATGGGTTTCGAAAATATTAAATGAAAACGCGAAAGGGAAGTACTTCATGACAGTAAGTGTAATAAAAGAAGAAAGTTGAACAATTAAAGAAAACGAAAAAAGTAAGGAAAACAGGAAGGTAGGCATGAAGGAAGAAGGAAAAAGGAGGCGTAGGAAAGCTCAAAGGGCGGAGCACCAACCTACCGAGGGCTGTTTAATCCCGTCAGAGCTTGTTTGTAGTAGTTGGGCAACAAGACTCCGGACGAATTGGGCGGGTGAGAGGCTTGCTTCGCTTCTCGCCTGGCAGAAGTGGCGGGCTAGTAGCCGCTTGTTTAGGGAGCGCTGATGTCTTGCTGTCGGACCGGTCGAAGGCCAAGCTAGTTCTGCGCACAGGGCTGTCTTGCCACTCCCGGAGCCACCGACTATCAGCGCACCACAAGTTTTCGAGGCTGGCCGCTGATCTAAGCAATGTGACAACTTGGCGAACGCCCATTCTCGGCAAAAGAAGCGCTTCTTCTCGATTACCGGCGCTGCCATTTTTAGTTTCTTTTCTTTTCTTCTTATTCTAGTTTTACTTTGAATCAACCCTTTCTATATACTTCTTCGATTTCTCGGTACAATACTAATAAGACAAATTGAAAAACAATAATAATTAATGGATTATATAAATAAGGATAAATCATTATATACTAAAAACTAGTATATACTAATAATTATTATATACCAAAAAATAACCAATAGCATAAATAAAAAATGTTAAATACTAAAAATTAAAGAAGTTATAGTGTTGGGGTTTGAGGAAGTTTTGATATGGTTCGATCGAACGATCGATCGATCGATCGAGAGAGAGAGAAAGACAGACAGACGGACTTACACTGTAGCTACTTAGGTGGAAAACTATTCCTTGCGGCGTTTCTCCTATTGCCAAAAATACGTTGCTGGTGATGTGTCGCTTGACGTTTTCCAGATCCAAATAACATTCAGATCTAGCCATTGTGTGAAACTCATATCCATTTCTACAGTGTCTTTTGATTCATCGAGCATGATTTATTGAATTAGATCATCAATCGATTCTGTACTTCCTTCTCTAGACATACACAATGCATAATGTTAAGGAAACAAATATGTCAACAGTATCCAAAATAACTACTTTCGTTTTACATTGTTATGAATATCGCTTTTTGCGTGTGCACTAAAGTAAATATAATTTCAATGTTCCTCACATTATTTTACTTCATCTATTCAAACAAGTTATTTAAGTATCAAGAATTAATTTTGCTTACTGAGTACTAATTGCAAATAGTAACTACTCTATGTTGAATTGATTATTCATAAAATTTATTACAACGTTATTAATTATGAAAAAAATGTTTATAATTAATGCATTTAAAAAATACCTTTTTTATACATTTGTTTATGAAATTTCATTTTCTGTCCTATAAACTGTTCATAATTTAAAATATAAGTACATAAACTTTTGTAACATAATTAAAATTTTATTTTCAAATTTAAGATATTGTTAAGAGTAATAAAAGAATAATAAATAAATTAGTCTTTATGGAGTTCGAAAAAAAAGGTAACGGCGTGTAATCGTCAGAAAATTAATCTTGCGAGGTTCTGATTCTGTCATGAACATATAATTTATCTACCTTGAAGCTATTAATCCTATTTGAATTTCTTCATGTGAGCCACATTTAAATCATAACCGTATCGCGAAATCGGTACACTGTGCTATATAGTATTGCATACGTGACAACATAGCAGTATATCAAAATTAATAAGTATCCAGTAATATATTGAATTTTATCTTTTTTAGCATTACAGATTTTAGTACAATACTTCAAAAAAGTATTTATAAAATGTAATTAAAATTTAAATTTAAACATAGCTATAAACAAAAAAATTATATTTTTATTAAATATCTTATTACTTGCTTCTTTGAAAATACAAAATATAAATTTATAGGATACGTTATGTAGATAGATAAACATATATATATATATGCTGATTCTACATTTTAATATATTTAGTATTCAACGAGTAAAAAGGCGAGGTACGTACGTTATTTCAGGAAGTTATCAAAATTTGCATAAATTTTGATTACATTATAAGTTGTATATTATGAAGCTTAACAATTTTTAACTGTAAACTTATAAATATCACAGTTCAACAAGCTTTTATCGTATTTAAGTAATATTTAATAGAATTATAACATATTTGGTAAAATAACATACTAAAATACTATGTTGATAAAATAAGATACGGAGATGATATTTCACGCAATATTCTATAGATAAATAGTCCATTTATCACATTTACTGTAGTATAATTATTTATTTCAATAATTAATAAATCGATGTAAATAAAAAGATGATAATTTATAATATTGAAAAATTAAATATTTTATTTATTATTGAATGTTATATATTTTTTCATTAAAAAAAAAATTAATTACATTGGTATAATAACTTAAAGTATTTAATATTATATTTTCATACCAGTCTAACTTCAAGTATTTTGAAATATACTATTTTAAGAAACGGGAAGTACTAAGCAAATTCTATAATAATTAAGAACTGTAGTATTCTTTTTTAATAAGCATTGTTATAATTGTTAGAAGTAATAAAAATCGTCATTTGGATCCAAAATATATATTAAAATACATTTTTATCTTAAAAATTTTGTTGTCATTTGTAAAGTACGAATAATTATATAAATATTGAATTATCTCATCTTCATACAAATTTTCAAGTAAAATATAAACATTAACATTCTATTTTAAATTTTAATACTTTTCATATCCTTAAAACTATTTAATAGTAATTATTATATATTACTTTACCTTTTTTATGAAATAATATACCTCATTTAATTAAATATAAGAATACGCATAAATTCTAAATAATTCGTAATTAAAAATTTTAAAAATCAAAAATATAATTTTGGAAAAAGCTCTTTAAATTTTCAGTTACTGTAATATTCTGCTAAATATTATTTTATTTGACCCTCTATATTTGGAAAAGGTAATATAACTTGGAAATATTCAAAAGGATTATATTTGA